TTAGGGTTTAGGGTTTGGGGTTTGGGGTTTAGGGTTTAGGGTTTAGGGCTTAGGGTTTAGGGTTTAGGGTTTAGGGTTTAGGGTATAGGGAGTGCTGATTGTCAGGCTGCCGGATCGAAAGTGGCACCTTCGACAAGCCTCCATCAGCGCCTCCCTCGCGAACACAGCCTACACAGGAAACCTTAAACCCTAAACCCTAAACCCTAAACCCCAAACCCCAAACCCCAAACCCTAAACCCTAAACCCTAAACCCTAAACCCTAAACCCTAAACCCTAAACCCTAGGAGACTGGCGAAGCTTTGGCAGAATTCCTGGCAGGACGCGAGGTCGTCAACTTGGAGCAGCTCGAGACACTGCGGGAAGGCGTTGCCTTGGCGCCGGACTCCCCCAAAGAGGGAAGACGCATGCATGAACTTCGGAAGTTGGTGCGGATCATCCCTAAACCCCCCCGAAAACCTCCCTAAGCCCCTTTAAACCCCCCCAAACCCCCCCGAAAACCTCCCTAAACCCCTCAAACCCCCCTAAACCCCCCTAAACCCCCCACCCCCACACTATCCCGCAAGCCATGTGGCCTTTGCTTAGGATCCCTTTCGAGCTCCACCGAGTACCTGTACTTCCAGGGTTGGGGTCTCGATGATGACTATGCCTCAACGCTTTTCAGACAGCTTCTTTTCACGCATTATTCACGAACTGTCAGTATCGTCATCATAGCTGGTCAGGCTGAGTGATTCTGGAGTTTGCAGTGCTGCGCATTGCTGGTCGCCTGCTGAACAGCTTCGTTGAAAGTCAAAGCGCCCATCCCAATTAAGGATCAAGTTCTCTAATGTGCGCCACATCAACCTCACGGACAATCGCCTGACAGATTGCTGGGTCAATTTTCTGCTGGAGGTGGGACATACCCGGCAGCCTACTTTACCCATCTCGTGCAGTTTCCTGGCCAAGCCCTGATCCAAAAAGGGTGAATCTTTCCTGGTGCAGGTTGCAGAAGAGCAGCCCCCTGTCGCCTTAAACAGCCTACACTTGGCCAAGAATCGCCTGGGCCACTTGGGAGGCTGACAAGACGGCGTTTTTCCCTTTGTGACTTTCTCTCGTCGATGGATCCCCTGCCTCGAGAGAGACTCTCTGTTAATACAGAACTATATACTGTTTATAACATATTGTAAGGATATCATAAAATGTGATATAATATAATGTGATATATTATCATGTAATATAATTAATACAATATATTATAGTATGAAATGGCAGTTATTTAGATTGTCTATACCTTATTATGCTTATGGTTCCGAGTGCAGGCGTAGCGCTGGCGAAGCTCCTGGAGGACACCAAAGACTGCTGCCTGCAGCAGCTGGATTTGGCGGAAAATGACTTGGGTCGGGCACCAAGTCCGCGTGCCCAGTAGAAAATAGCCATTCTTAGATTATTCTCTTGGTATGCTATGTTATGTTTTGTTGTGTTGTGATGTGTTGTGTTATGTATGGTTATATTGTACTATGATTAGCTAACCCATGAAGCTGGTCCGGAGTGCAGAGTTGTTGACTGCAAGGTGATGCCGCAGTGGTGGGACCGGCACGTTGTGGGCCCTAAATCCTAAACCCTAAACCCTAAACCCTAAACCCTAAACCCTTAGCCCTAAACCCTAACACCCTAAACCCTAAACCCTAAACCCTAAGCCCTAAACCCTAAAACCCTAAACCCTAAACCCTAAACCCTAAACCCCAAACCCTAAACCCTAAACCCTAAACCCTAAACCGGACTGCTGCTAAGAGATTGTCACGCCTTTTCTACCCACGGCCAGGTGCAGCTTTGCAACGCATTACGCAGAGCTGCCAGGCTGTTGATAGGGTATTGGTATTGTAGCACGATAGTATTATAGTATTATAGTATTTTAGTATTATAGTATTATAGTATTCTAGTATTATAGTATTATAGTTTTATAGTATTATAGTATTATAGTATTATAGTATTATAGTATTATAGTATTATAGTATTATAGTACTATAGTATTATAGTATTATAGTATCATAGTATTATAGTATTAAAGTATCATAGTATCATAGTATTATAGTATTATAGTATTATAGTTATTATAGTATTAGAGTATTAGAGTATTAGAGTATTATAGTATTAGAGTATTATAGTATCTATAGTATTATAGTATTATATTATAGTATTATAGTATTAGTATTATAGTATTATAGTATTGTAGTATTGTAGCATTATAGTATTATAGTACTATAGTATTATAGTATTATAGTATGATAGTATGATAGTATGATCGGATTATAGTATTATAGTATTTTGGTATTTTAGTATACTATTATTCTAGTATTCTAGTATTCTAGTATTCTAGTATTCTAGTATTGTCGTATTATCGTATTATAGTATTTTAGTAATATAGTATTATAGGATTTTACTATTGTAGTACTACAGTATTATGGTATGATACTATTATAGTACTATAGTATTATAGTATCATCGTATTATAGTATTATAGTATTATAGTATTATAGCATTCTAGCATTCTAGCATTCTAGCATTCTAGCATTCTAGCATTCTAGCATTCTAGCATTCTAGCATCATAGCACTACAGTGCTCTAGTTTTATAGTATATAGTATCATAGTACTATAGCATTTTGGCATATACCTCTGCCACTCCTAAGGCTTGCAAGAACAGCCTCGTTGGCCTTCGCCTTGCCAAGAACTCGCTGGGCACGGCCTCCAAGTCCGTGGGGATGGCGCTCGGGGCGCTGATCTCCAACGCGGCAGCTTGGGTCAAACAGCTGCCTTTATCTATGGTTACGATTCTATTTTTGGGGTCCCTTGTTTTCGTAAACCCCCTCACATGTGAAGGGTTCCTTCTGTCCAGCAAGCCTTCTTTCTCTACTCTGGCATCTGCAGCTCTTTCGAAGGTTAAGCTCCAAGCTCTGGATCTTCATTGGAACAAGATGCAAGGAGCTGACGTCGTACACATCTTCAAAGGTGCCTTTTCTGAAAGCCTGCTTGTCCATCGACCTCGCTGGTTCTTACGTACGTGCTTGTCACAACCGTTTTTGCACCGTTGTGACGTCCGACGGTCCTCGGGTTGCTTCCAATGACGGCTGAGGCTTTCGCAACAACAGCCTTCGTCTCAAGGGTCAGCTTTCACGAGTCAATCTGGCGTGGAATTGTATCGGCTTGAGAGCCTTGTCCGCGCTCAACTTGCTTTGCCAATCTCCCATGCTGAACTATAGTATTACAGTATTATAGTATTTTAGTATTATAGTATTTAGTAGTATTATAGTATTATAGTATTATAGTATTATAGTATTATAGTATTATAGTATTATAGTATTATAGTATTATAGTATTATAGTATTATAGTATTATAGTATTATAGTATTATAGTATTATAGTATTATAGTATTATAGTATTATAGTATTATAGTATTTTCGTATTATAGTATTATAGTATTTCCGCATTATCGTATGATAGGCCCTACTGCCGCTTTCCGCAGGATGTCGGGAAGGTGCGACGCAGTGCCAGTGTGAGCTCTGCAGTGACTGTAGCGTTCGCCTCAGTTGCGGCACTTTGCAATCCCCATGTCAAAAGGGTTTAGGGTTTAGGGTTTGGGGTTTAGGGTTTACGGTTCAGGGGTTAGGGTTTAAGGTTTAGGGTTTAGGGTTCCCCAGAAGAAACAAGGGCTATCGTCGACCCAGTGGACCCAGGCTCTGCTGTCGTAGCCCTTGCCGGGGTGTTCTCTGCCACTGGGCTGGCTTCATCAGCATACGGCCTGTGGATAGGTTGTAGCCTTGGACCCGGATGTGAGCTCAGCTAAGGATTGCGATACCCTATTTCATCTGGATCTCTCTTACAACAGCCTGTCTGCGCAAGACTGCTCTACACTGGCAGAAGCTCTAACTTCAAATCGAAGTTTGTTTGGTCTGCACATGGCCGGCTGAGACCTTAGTCATCAGAGCCCTGGACAAGTCCTGACGTGCAAGAAGACGTGTAAAGAAGAGAGGCAATGCAGCTTTTGTGGACGACATTGGGCTGCTGTGGCCCCGACTGGTCAGCGAATCCAACAAGCTCGAGGACGCGATGTTCTCACAATTTCGCAATATTTCTTAATTATGTTTCCTATAGGTCAGGACAATATAACACAAGTCATAAGTTACAACAACCAATGACAAAACAAGCAGGCTCTTGTTCCCCACTCCAACACCCTAAACCCTAAACCCTAAACCCTAAACCCTAAACCCTAAACCCTAAACCCTAAAACCCATTCCTGGTGTACCTTTCGAGATGATTTTCGAGGACCTCGTCCAACGTGAACGTGCTCGGCGATGTTTGGATGACTGCGCGCCTTGGAGAAACGTCCCCTAAACCCTCAACCCTATATATATATATATATATATATATATATATATAGGGTTATATATATATAGGGTTATATATATATATAGGGTTATATATATATATAGGGTTATATATATATATATATATATATATATATATAGACCCTGAACCCTCAACCCACGAAGCCGCCCCCACGAAAGGCAATGCAAGCCCTTCAAAGCTGCCACCTTGCACTGTTTCACACCCTAGGACCCCCAAGAAGGGGGGCTTGTCAAACTGGGGCCTGTCTTCAGTCAGGGTCCTTTGTATTTTATGTATTTTTTTTGGAAGGACTCTCCTTTTCTCATAGGGGCGATTTTGTTTTATTGGGGTGATTCGGTGAATTTTGGGGGGGATTTTGGCAGTTTAGGGCTTTGGGGGATTTTGGGGGATTTTGGGGGATTTTGGGGGATTTTGGTGGATTTTGGGGGATTTGGGGGATTTTGGGGGATTTTGGGGGATTTGGGAGGATTTTGGGGGATTTTGGGGGGTTTTGGGGGGTTTTGGGAGGACTTTGGGGGATTTTGGGGGATTTGGGGGATTTGGGGGATTTAGGGGGATTTAGGGGGATTTAGGGGTTTCCGGCGGTTTTTGGGGCCCATGCCGGTTTGGCAGCCGGGAGGTGCGGAACATGCCGCGGAACCTCGCGCTTGAGCGCATGGGTCGCTTCGTGGAGGCCCATGGCATCTGTCGGACATTGCCCGCACTGCCGTGACCGCAAACCCCCTAAGGCCTAAGCCGCCCTAAACCCTCAACCTGAACCCTAAAACCCTCTAAGCCCTAACCCCAAACCCTCAACTTGAACCCTAAAACCCCGAAGCTGATTCCCCTAAGAACGACTACTGCAAGCCGCGCGACGCCACGGGAGTTGCTCAGGAGCTCAAGCTGGCCTACGAGCCCTTCAGCCCATCCCTGCGAAGGGCTGCTCGTTGGCACCCGTTCAGCTGCTACTAGGGTTTGAGGCTTAACGTACTAACAGAGTCATGTAGTATTAATAACTAGCAATACACCAGTATACCTTGTATGGTAGTATAATTGTATTATATAACAAAATACTCATATGCTTCAAGGCTATGCCCACATTGGCATCCCACAGACTTGCAGCATGCTAAGCCAGGTCGTTAATTATTGCATTCGCGTGGCCACCAGCGTGGGTTAACCCACTGACACTTCGGCCACGATCAACTCGGAGCCCGGCCATCCGACCCCCACAGATGTGGAGATTTCTTCAGATAGCAGCGAAGTCAACAACACGGCTCATCATGTAAGTTTGCGGGGTTCAACCAGTATTGGGCTGGGTTCCAGCCATACAGGTAATGGAAGGCGGCAGAAAGTTAAAGTCGCCAGTCCTAAAAGATCAGATGAGGTTGAGAAGGCCGATGCCTTTTCTGAGGGTGACCTCAGCTGGGAGAAGGCGAGCTGCTTCCTCGACTCGAAACTAGACCATGAAATCACATAGTAGTGCAGTGTTGAAGTAACACACTGGCGAAGTATTATGACACAATGCACTCATAAAGCACTGTAAAGAACATACGAATAGAACAATAAGCAATATACTGATCTTGTAACATAAATAGTCCATTAAGTAACAAGCATAACCCCCAAACCCCAAACCCCAAACCCCAAACCCCAGACCCCAAACCCCAAACCCCAGACCCCAAACCCCAAACCCCAGACCCCAAACCCCAAACCCCAAACCCCAAACCCCAAACCCCCAAACCCCAAACCCCAAACCCCAAACCCTAAACCCTAAACCCTAAACCCTAAACCCCAAACCCTAATCCAGTCGGGCGCTTCCTCAGGCCTGGCTGGGCGTCCATGCCAAGGTTCAGTCGGCTCCCGCCTTTGTCCAAGAGAGTGAGGAGGCCTGGGGGTTAGGGTTTAGGGTTTAGGGTTTAGGGTTTAGGGTCTAGGGTCTAGGGTCTAGGGCCTAGGGTTCAGTTTTGTTGTTGTTGTTTTTGTTTTTTTCGGCCGGGGAGGGGGGGGATGATTTTGTTTTGTTTTCCATGTTTTCTTTATTTTTTTGGTTGGGGGGGGGATCTTTTTTGGCATTTCGGGTTGCTTTTCCTTTTTTTTTTTTGGGGGGGGGGGGGGGGGTTGCATATTTAGGTTCTTTGTTTTTTTTGGGCGGGGGGGGGGGGATTTAGGGGGTTCTTGCAGGAAGTTAGGGGTTTGTCGGATTTTGGGGGTTGGGGGGTTTAGAGGGGTTGGGGTTTTAGGGTTAGGGTTTTAGGGGTTTAGGGTTTTAGGGTTTTAGGGTTTACGGCTTTACGGGTTTAGGGTCTGGGGGTTGCTTCTCCTGTGACCTATTAGTTGCTCTGGGCGAGCTGTTGCATCAGGGATGCAGTCTTGCCAGGTCAGCGCCAATGAGCGTTGCTGCTGGATCTGTGAGAACTGGGTGGCGCAAGAGGTTTTCTACATACCAGGCCCACGCCAACTCGGTAGTTCATGATCATGCAGATTCGACACTCTTTGGATTCGATGACGCCTTGGGTTGCAGGCTGGTCTGGTGCAGAGACGAGCCTTGATGAGGTTGTGAATGTTTTCGCTTATTTCAGCGTGGACAACTTCACGAGGCAGCCGTGGTGTGATCACAAGTGCAGATGCAGTGTAGATGCATGAGGTAGCTCTTCCGACTATTATTTTCTTTACATGATATAGCTGAAGACACACGACTTCGTGCGCAGGCCTACAAGGCTGAGCAAGACCACCCAGCGGTATCACTCGCGGGACTTCGACGTCACCAGCTCACCGAGCCCAGTGGGCAACAAGCACGTGCAGATGGCTCTTGAAGCGATGCTGGGACCTCAGAACTCTCGGAGATCCACTTGACAGGAATTCCTTCCTTCATTCTGACGCAGTAGTTCCGGACTCAAAGTACCCCCCGCGCCCTTGAGGGCCATAAGCATGAGGCCGGAAGATGGACAACTTGGGCGCCAGCCATTCGTCGTGGATGGCAACGTCGTGTGTTTCGCTGGCGCGCGCATGCTGCCTCCCAGCTACGAGCGCATCCAGGTGATCTTCCAGGCGTGCCATACTTGGTCCTAGTGTCCTAGAGCGGGCAGGGGCCAGGGGCTAGCTCCTGAGCAGAAGACACACTTCTGCCTAAGCACAACGCACTCTTCAGCAATGCTGCTCGGGCATTTTTGTGGGGGTGCTTTCTCATTGACTTGACACAAGAATCGCTTGAACCGCGAAATGCCAAGCTCTCCTATGCAAGATTGCTCTCAAATCTGAGGCATTTCTTACCACGCTGTTGTGACAGTTTTGTTAGATCTGGCTGATGGAAGGTGAATGAGGCGTTTGTCTCGGCCGACCACCTTGCCAAAATGCCACTGCTGACTGCCGTGCCCTTGTCTTTGCACAGTGACGGCCGCACCTCGGTGACCATTCAGCCTTTGAAATCTTGGCACAAGTGGGCTCTGCAGTTCCTGCCAGCTGCCTATCTCCGTGTGCTGTTCTTCGTGGCCAGTCGTTACTGCGTTCCCATCATGTTATCTTAGCATGTGCTTCCGGTGGTATCTTCTTAGCTCTTTGCAATTGGTGAATGTTGTGGGTTCAGACACAGCAAACGTGCAGCCGATCACACTCCGAGCGCTGTGGTTTCCGCCGCCCTCCTGTGGTTGGTGGACTGTGGACACCGGGATTGCTCAAAAACAGAAACCTGTGTCCTCAACAACTTCGCGGGACGTGAAGGCCTTTGCTCCAAAGCAACTGGGGAGGGGGCTCGTTTCGGCCGGCTTCTTAACTTCGCGTCAAGCGGTATATTGTTGTCGCACCTGCATCCTGACCCTTCGCTGAACATCAGCGACGATCAAAGCTGCCGTTCTATGTTCCTGAAGCATGCCGGGGGGTGATGCGCAGTTGGCTGACTTTGGCTTTTGGCTGCTGCCCAAGTGCCATGTGCGCATTGTCCTTTGCCTTTGTTGCCTTTGCTGATATAATGCCGGGCGGCCATGGAGATCGCTGGAGATCTCTTGGATATCTCTTGGCCTATCCTCGCATGTTCCCTCGAGCTAGAGCTAATGTTACGTGTTCTTCACGCTGAGTTTTTCCATGTGGGTTCATGAATGCGCAGTGGGCATGCAAGGCACCAGCGCAAATGATCCCTTGCCTGCGATTCCGACGTTGTTGGACCACCCTGCCGTGGACGTGGCGGAGGTGAACATCATCGATGTCGTGACCTCATCAGATGTGTGTTGGGATGTTCCCCCGTATGCTGACAGTCCTTCATAGGGATTCTAGTATTTCTATGATCATCCCCAATAAAGGGCTGTGAGCAGAAGGGGGAACATCCCAACATAGGTGTTGCAGAAGCAACAGGCACTGCCACAGTGCTGCCTGAATGCCGAAGTACACTCTCTCTTGGCAGCGCATCTGCTTTTTTCCTGTGGTCATGTTAAGCAAACCCATGGTTGCAGCATCGGGTTTGTTGCTACTCGTAGAACCCTTCGGCTCACGGCCGATTCCTTCTCAAGGTTGAGACCCAAGCTCGAGCGCTTTTCGAGCAGGGTGACATGGATGCGCTGTTCCTGAGCGAGGACTCTGAAGTATAACTAAGGCAGGCGAGGTTCATAATTCCATGCCTTGGGATGTTTTTTTGAAATAAAGGGTCCTAGTACCCCCGATTATACTTCCTCTTAAACACTGTTAGTACAAGGGGGAACATCCCAATCCATGCCAGTTCCCGAAGAGACGTACGTCAGGACGTGAGGCTACATGCAGCACCGGTACCTCCCCGGACGTTGCAGCTGCAGAGCCACAAAAAGTCTGCATGGACCTTCAAGAAATCTGTCTTCAAGGAGCAGACCAGCTCCAAAAGAATCTGCATTGCTGAGTGTCAGACGGTGATTCGTCCTGTAAGCTCCTCTGCATTGTAGACCTTGCGTGGAATCCCACGAAATCAGACGGATTCCCCCGGCAAAAGCTCTGAACAATCCCTATGCGCAGGACTATCGCCGCGATTCTGATGACATTGCCAGGGCCTGTTTCGAGCATGACTACGCGTTGACCAGGCGGACCCGAAGTCACTCCGAATCCTTTGACCCCTTTTCTTGAAGCCCCAAATTGTCTCCCGGGAGCTTCTTGGAGGTCCGCAAGGCTTGCATATATATATATATATATAAATACATATATATATATACTTATACATATATATATATATATATATTCATTCCTAGACTCTAACTGAACCTTAAGCCACCCCAAGCTGCAGAAGCGATTCAGCGGCTGACAGCTGTTCCGAGGAATCGAGTTTTCGAGCTCAGTTTCGCATTGAGTACGTTCTTGGCGGAAAGCTTGCCCAAAAGTTGCCCTCGTGTTCGTGTGTGTGTGTGTGTGTGTGTGTGTGTGTGTGTGTGTGTGTGTGTGTGTGTGTGTGTGCTTGTGTTGGCAGGCTGGAGAGATATTGGAAGAAGCAGTTGAAAGGGGAAGACCGCAGGGCGGACGTCAGCTCAGCTTCTCGGCAAGGTTGTTTGGCCGGGACTCTCAAATGCTCTCAGAATCTTTAGGTCCTCGTATCTTGATTCGAATGTACTAGGTTTGGTGCTTTTGCCACTTTCTGAAAGAGCAGGTTCAGGCCTTGCTGTCCTCGGCTTACCACGGCATCATCGCTGCCTACAATACTGCGCCGCGTGGCAAGGAAGATGAAAGGGCCTCCGCCATCAGATTGAGGAGGGGGCGTGCTATCTGCGCGGCAAAATGCCAGAAGGCCTAAAGCCTAAACCCTAAACTCCCTAAACCCTAAACCCTAAACCCTAAACCCTAAACCCTAAACCCTAAACCCTAAACCCTAAACCCTAAACCCTAAACCCTAAACCCTAAACACCGAGGTCCATCTTGGACTGCACATCAAGCCGGCAAAGCTGCAGCCTTTCGCTGGCGGCCTTTTCTCGGCTGCTGATCTCTCGGCCATCCCAAGAGAGGAGCCCTCGTCGTTGTGCCAGTAATCATAAGAATAATCGTAAGAATAATCAATACATAATAATAACAATAACAACAAGAAGAATAATAATATTAATAATAATAACAATCATAATGATAAGAATAACACAATAATCATACTACTACTACTAATAATAATAATAATAATTATTATTACTATTTTGTGTTGTGAGCGACCATTTGAAGGCCTGCAGTGGAAGCATCGCCACCTGGGTCGCGAAGGCACATGACGTTGTCTGATGGAGCGGCCGTGGTGCCACTTGCTCTGCATTTAGCTATATCTCCCTGGGGAATTATTAATTATTTTTTGTTTATATAAAACCCAAGAGGGTATGAAAGATATTATTAAGGCTCTCAGGGGAGTATAGTTAGGACATGTGGAACTCCATGGAGTGCACGTGAGAGTGTTTCCGCGACGGGGCCTGCAACGCAAGGAGAACTCGAAGCAAGCAGGCATCTGGAGAAATTCTCAAGCTGCGAAACTCTATGATGGCAAGTCTGGATGACTCCCACCCGGTCAACAGAGGCCCTTTCCCGACAGCATGCATCTTGCGTGGGTTACCGCCCTGGTTGCCTGCCCATTTTTTCTGACATCTGCAGCTTTACATGTTAGGGTTTAGGGTTTGGGTTTAGGGTTTAGGGTTTAGGGTTTAGGGTTTAGGGTTTAGGGTTTAGGGTTTAGGGTTTAGGGTTTAGGGTTTAGGGTTTAGGGTTGTTGCGCAGAGACGGAACAGCCTGGAGGACTTCCCTTCGCCAAAGCCGATGCCCTGTACACCGCAGTGCTGGTTGACCTTGACCACCTGGACCTCAGGATGCTTGCCATGCAGGTTTAGGGTTTAGGGTTTAGGGTTTAGGGTTTAGGGTTTAGGGTTTAGGGTTTAGGGTTTAGGGTTTAGGGAGGTTGCGGTTTGATTTTTGGGCGTTCTGAGAGCGAAGATACAGGCACACGCAGGCACACAGAAAGAGATTCGGTTGGCATTGGAGATGGGAGTCTTTTTGGAGTGAGGGCAAAGGAATGAGAGAGCTGAGGACTCTGTCGGGGATGCCGTCTGATGGCCTGGCGCGATTCCAGTTCTTAGAGGTACCATATGCGGGTTGGTCTAAAGGTCCTTCGGAGGGTTCCTAGAGGTTTCTAAGGCAACTGTAGGGTTATTGTGGGAACGTACATTTGGATCAGCTACCATATATAGTGCCATTGTTGCTGGGGCGAACTGCTCCACTGGCGTGTCGAAGGCAGTGGATTCACTCAGATTCATTTTGCTGTTAGCTATTTTTGTGCAGTTTCCTCTTCTTCTCTCTTTGCTCAAGTATGCCCAAAGGCAGTAGCCATCAACTTCTTCCCAAGACTACAGCACCAGAGAGATTATCTTGAAAAGGGGGCCTCCGAAACATGTGGAACTCTCGTGCTGTTCCCTTCCACAAGCAAATGCCGGTCGAGCTGCTCGTCGAACCTTACTCGCACACAACTCGTAGCGTTCCAGTGGAGCCTTCTGCCCCAAGCTACAAACAAGTGGAGTCTGCAGGTGCTGGTTTGCTGCGCCATTGCTTGTGCTCATGGCCGGCCGCCTTCGCAAGCGATTAGCCCCACAACTGCAGTGCGTAGGCTCCCTTTGCATCGGTCCGCTTCACGGCGGTTTCTCAGTGCAACACATGAGAGCAGCTGTACCACAATCCAGATGATGCTGCCGCTTGCCTGTCCGCTGCGCTTCCGAGGCAGCTTCCTGTCGTCCCTTGACCTTGGCAAGCAGGAGCTGGGTGCGAGGCAAGAATTTCTAGGGCCGCTAGGGCCTACTGGTTTCAGCTTGCGGCACAAGCGCTGAAGTTTTGCCAACATAGCCCGAGACATCCTGCTGTGCAGGCGAGCTTTGCATGCCTCTTGGCGCCAGCAGCAGTCATTCTTTTTCTTGTTCTCTCCAGGGTGTTTCAAAGGTATGAGCCCTAAACCCTAAACCCTGAAGGCTAAACCCTAAACCCGAAACCCTAAACCCTAAACCCTCAACCCTAAACCCTAAACCCTAAACCCTAAGCCCTAAACCCTAAAGCCTAAACCCTAAAATCAAGGCACAGAAAAGGCACCACACCAGCGACCAAAAGTGAAGGCACAGAAAAGGCACCACACAGCGACAAAAATGAAGGCACAGAAAAGCACCAAAAACACAGCGAACAAAAAAATGAAGCACCACACAGCGACCAAAAAATGAAGGCACAGAAACGGCATAAACCCTAAACCCTAAACCCTAAACCCTAAACCCTAAACCCTAAACCCTAAACCCTAAACCCTAGGCTAAGAAGTCGTGCCGAGTGTTCTGGCCAGCAAATGGACCATGCCCAGGAGTCGCTCTTCACCGAAGACTGCTGCCAAGTCTTGCGGCGAAGCATGAAGCCTCTGCAAGAGGTGTCTTAGGGATTCTTCGGAAGAATTTTTTAATTTTTTGAGTACTCTAATTCTTGAGAAGCAGCTAAGATCATAACTTTTGCTAGGGTTCCAAATTCAGTAGAGGTATACCAGATCTATCAGAAGCGATTTCGCTTCAAGGCTGGTGTCGAGGCCGGCATGAATCTCGGAGGAGATGGCCTGAACCCTAAACCCTAAACCCCAAACCCTAAACCCTAAGCCCTAAACCCCCTAAACCCTAAGCCCTAAATCCATCAGCATCCCTTTGCGAGAGGGGCAGTGTTGTCACGCCTTGGCGGTATAAGGATGTCTTACAGCGCCTGGCTTCAGTTCCTGGAAGACTGCAAGATACCTTGCCTCGATACGGAAGACTATCCCACAGCTTTTGCGCTTGGGAAGGATTCCTGACTGCAGGTCTGATCTGTGGTCGGTTTCGATTGTTGAGCAGCACACGCACCTCTGCAGGCGTCCCCTCTATCACTCTCTCTCTCTCTCTCTCTCTCTCTCTCTCGCTCTCTCTCCTTTTCCTGTATCGTCCCTGACTCCTCCTGACGGCAGCTGACATGTCCATCTTCCGCAAGCACTTGAAGAGTTTCGCTCCCATGACCATGTGGGTCTGTTTCCACACTTCTTGAGGCAGGGCCCTCAAGTCTTTCTCACGACCCTACATGTTTAAGCATTTCAACTTCTCGCAACTCGTGCCTCTATACTCATGCCTCAGAAAAAAGAGATTTCGTTCTAGGAAGGCAACCATTGTACACGGCTTCGACTCGGGAAGCGGCACCGTGAGCTCCTCCTGCCTGCAGCTCCCTATTCCGCCTGCCGCCGTCGCGGCCTCTGCATGGGTCAGTCAAGCCATCCGCCGCCTCGCGCGTCTCTTTGCATCCTGATGCATCCTGTTTCCGAGTCATCCGCTTGGGTCAGCCAAGCTCTGCGCTCTTATCTTCTCTTCCTCCTCCACTCAGGGCGACGTTGTTTTTGGTTGTTTCGTCTTGCATGCCCTTCAAAACCCCCGCAGTTGTTGTACGCACTTCAGGTGTCTGGGGATATGGGCGTTCTAGAGCCGAGGGTGGGCTTCAAGAAGCAGGGCGGAAGCTAAGATCTTTTTTGACTTGCGTGCACTCTGCTTCACAGACCTTGTCATTGTCAGACGCTGCCTGATTTTGTCGCCTGTCCCGTGCAAACACACCCACACGCTCTGTTGTTTCTTCTGTGGTCATTTTTTTTGGAAGGAGGATCTGCCTAAGGACGTAGAACTTGAATTTTTTCTTGGTCTGGCGCTGGGGGCCCATTTCCAAGGCGGGGGTCGTTGGCTAAGTGCAGCGGCACGAAGCATTCCTTTCCTCTGAGACATGTCGACCGTGTCTGAGTACCTCAAACAGTGATCAATCTGAATGCCAATGTGCCGAGTTGCAGCAGACACCTTTAAAGGGCTGGTCCCAGTATGTCCCAGTACATATCTAAGGAGCTCTGTGTGGAGCAGCATGCAAGCCTGAGACACATGGCGTTGAGCCACCTCGATGCAACTTACATGGCTGTCGCGATGCTACGATGCGGTCGCGATGCTGTCACACCCTAAACCCTAAACCCTAAACCCAGAAAGAAGCTGAGGCTGGTCGGAGTTACTCGTCGCGGTGGCTGCCGCAGTGCAGCTTTCGAGCCCTTTCTCTACGGCGGACTTCGCTGATCGGCCGGGGGCCTTGTCGTGAGCTGTCGCGGACTGCGCCGAACACACCCGAATGCGGCGGAACTCCTTTCAAACAGGACTCTGGTCACCAGTCATCTTGAAATGGTGTAGCAAAGCCTTTCCCACATGTTTCATTATGTGACATCTGGCAACTGCAGTTGGTCCTGCGGGTGGGTGGGTGGGGGGATTCCACACTTGGAACTGCACGTCTCCCGAACTTCATCCAGCCTGCCGGCACTGCCTGCAGAATGAAGTAAACGTAGAATTTTCTGCAAAAAGCAAAAAGCTGCCTCCATTTGAGGCACTTGCGCCAGACATATGCCAGATGCTAAGAAGCTACAGCGAGCACGAACCATGTACAGGCAGGCCTTGAAGGCTGGGACATCACAATCAATGACTTGCAGGTGCGCGGATTGTCACTGAACCATGATTTCCGACTTGGTCGGCCAGCGAACCTGAATGCTTCTTGTTGCCCTCCTCCTGCTTTGTGCAAGACAGGTGGTTATGACGGCAACCTCGCACAATGAATTTCTCTCGCATTGTCTGCTGACACGTCTTCCAGGAAAGATCTTTTCGTCTGCACCCACACACACGCAAAGTCCAAGCACCTGCTGAGTGCACTCTCCGCTCGCTCTCTCCTCTCTTGAACCCGTGAGGTTGCTGGACTTCCTTGTCGAAGATCTCCCAGAGGCCAGCCAGATTGCAGCCAGGGTTATGCAGGCTAGCATGCCGATGTCGGTACCTGCTGATATCGGTACCTGAGACGCTGTGTTCGGCACGACGCTGTTCTGCTGGGCAGGCTGTCCGCTGCGGCCGCGCGGCGCAGTTTGCCGAAGCCGGCCAAGTTGCTGCCTCCTTGGGGAGCAGCGATGCGAAGGAAGTGCGGCCCGCAGCCCAGCATGCCACGGTTTAGGGTTTAGGGTTTAGGGTTTAGGGTTTAGGGTGTAGGGTTTAGGGTTTAGGGTTTAGGGTTTAGGTTAGCATAGTAGTAGCAGAGACACGGCACCCCCCCCAAAAGGGATGGTCTTCCACCTTGCTTCCTAGATTGGTGGCCCTCGTGTGCCGCGTCTTCAACGACGCGGACGAAGACGGCTCTGGGCTCCTCTCCGCACGGGAGTTTTCGGAGGCCCGGAGAGCTGTAGCTGACTCAGGGTTGTTAGGGTTGTTAGGGTTGTGAGGGTTGTTAGGGTTATAAGGGTTATTAGGGTTACTAGGGTTATTAGGGTTCTATCAGGGTTCTATTAGGGTTCTACTAGGGTTATATTGGGGTTATACTAGGGTTCTTAGGGTTATATTAGGGTTATTAGAGTTATATTAGGGTGATTAGACTCAGAGGGCACGTGGGATGAGAGCGCTTTGTGGCGAGTTCGCTGAAGCCTGGAAGGCCTTTCAGCAGCCTCGCACGCAGGCTGCTTTGGAGGAGTCACATGTCGGCAAGGCATTCCTTGTTCTTGTTCTGTCAATGAGTTTTTTGGGTGCCTCTGGCCTTATCTGCCAGGGGGTTTAGGGTTTAGGGTTTAGGGTTCAGGGTTTAGGGTTTAGGGGGCTTGCACTGTGCAAGGTTGGGTGTGGTGGTTGGCGATATGAAGCTGCTGTTCTTGCGGCTCGACATAGACGACTCAGGCATCGGTTCCGTCGAACATGCCTCCTGCACCATATCTCAAGCCCTGACAGTGCCCTGAAAGGTAGCATCTCGCTGAAGGAGTTTGTTGACGGCCTGCTAAAGCTGCGCAGCGAGATGATGCTGCTGGAACCTGGCCCTGAATTCTGCTTTAAGAGTAAGGGCTTTTCGATGTCATGTGCCGCGATGCGCAGGAGAAGGGTGTCCGAGAGATGCGCAAGGCACCAACATGCCCGAAGCAACTTGCGCGCATGTGTGCATGCATCTGTCCACGCATGTCTACCTGCATGTGTGACCTCGCTGCAGGCCTTCCTGAAGATCGAAACCCAGCACGGTTCGTCCACGGGCATCACGAAGGAGCAGTTCCTCGAGTATGCTCCTCCACGGAAGATTGTGCGACAGTAGGGATGAGTAGGCGTGGAAATAGTGCAGATTCTGTGCAGAGATGTGATCAGATGTGCGTTTCTGCCAAGATTCGAATCCCTGCCAATGCCGACGTGCTGAAGGGGGCCGGTATCCAGGCCCCATGTTTCACTTGTCCTAGAAATGTGGGCCTGGCCAGTTCTCGCTGCGAGGTTGAGGACATCAACGATTTGTGGCAGGCGGCGCAGCAGGCGCGGAGAAGACTCCTGGCTGTTGGAGTCAGGGCTCCCGCTGGACGCATGGGAGGCGCTCTCGCGTGATGCACGCGCCGTGGACCTCTCTGCCGAAGCGCTGGTGGCGGGATACCTGGACCTCAACCTGGAGAAAGGTCGGCACCCCTCTAAGCTCTAGACTCTACGAGGAAAAAACCCTAAAGGCTCTTAGACCCGAAGCCGCCTAAATCCTCCCCCACCCACCCCCCCCCAAAGTGATGCAAAGAGGAGCCAAGGGAGTTGCCGTGCACCAAAACACACGGCGAGCTTTCGGGTAGTCCTTTACATTGGGGTCCCTTTGGGGGGTCCTCCTTTTCAGGGTGCCACCCAGAAGTCGGACCACGCTGTCACGGTGTGCTCCTATGACCGAATAGAACCCCGTACATATACCATACATCGTTCCTATATACCTTAGTACCCCAAATATAACCCCTAGATGTACCTTCTATCCTCCCTATATTCCCAAGTAGCCCCCTAAACAACCCCTAAACAACCCCTAAATAACCCCTAAATAACCCTTAAATAACCCCTAAATCACCCCCCCCCAAGTACCCCTAAGGTCCCCTTATCACGGTCCCTCCCTTCGTCCCTGCCCTGCGCTGCCGGGGAAGGCCGCATCATTCGCGCCATGAACTTCCTCAACTCGCCCCTGGGCCCTGCGTTAAAGTTACCGCCGAGCCCCTATAGGGTGTCCCTAAGGTGCCTAGGGTTTAGGGTTAGGGTTTAGGGTTTAGGGTTTAGGGTTTAGGGTTTAGGGTTTAGGGTTTAGGGTTTAGGGTTTAGGGTTTAGGGTTTAGGGTTTAGGGTTGAGGGTTGAGGGTTGAGGGTTTAGGGTTTAGGGGTTTAGGGTTTTAGGGTTTTAGGGTTTTAGGGTTTTAGGGTTTTAGGGTTTTAGGGTTTTAGGGTTTTAGGGTTTTAGGGTTTTAGGGTTTTAGGGTTTACCACACTTGGAGGTTCATGGTACTTATTAACCAAGTATAACTGTACTTGTAACCCACGTATCAGCCCCTTAAGTGCCCTGATATGGTTATATGGTCGAGTTGTAAGTATAGTTCTAGTTGGTTAATAAGTACCATGAACCTCCCAGCATGAAGACCCTGCACAAGCCCTATTGAAACCCTGCAAAATCCCTTATGGTAAACCCTATCGAAACCCTATGAGAGCCCTATGGAAACCAGATCGCAACCCTATCATTACCCTTCTGAAACCCCATCGAAACTTTTTTCGTAAACCCTATCAAAACACTACTGAAGCCCAATTGAAACCCTGGTTTTTCGCGGCCTTTCCAAGGATCTTCCAGGTTGCGGACATGGATGGCAGTGGTTCCCTTAGCAAGGCGGAGGTGGGAACTTACCTCTGCAGAAAGGACGCGGGGCATGGCACGTCTACTTTGTGTGTACATGTTGGGGAGGTTTTCCTAGGGTCTTGGCAGGGTTTTGGTGAGTAGCTTAAGTCGTCTAGGGCGGCGCGTAGCGAGTCATGTAGGATTTAGGGTCCAGGATTTCGTAAAGCAGCTCAGGGGCCACCTCCCACTGACGTCAGGAGGTAGCAGAGAAGCTTCAGTCCTTAAAGCTCTTCGTTCCAGATTGGCCGAAGGCTTAGTCCAGATCCCGGCTGCACGATGCACGCTTTTCGTGGCTGGTGTCAATGGCAACTTTCTGCAGCGTTTGAAACAATCGGACGTTGTGCACATCACAACCTCAGAAGAAGGTGCGTCTGGTTTAGCATTTGTCAGCTGGACCAATGAACCTCCCATGTGCACAGTCCCCAAGACCTGCTCCTTCACCGTGCCCAAGACCCACCCAAGGGGGGGAAGTCTTGAACAAACTTCCCCTTTATCGGTGCGAGCACGTTTTTTAATGCACACCTGAGACTTGAACTTCGGCGCGCAGTGGGGTTTAGGAAGTTCAGGGTTCAGGGTTGGAGTTTGTTTCCGAGGCTGGAGATCTTTGATGCAATGGACGCCGATGGCGATGGTGAAGCCTGTCGAGTTTGTGCGGAGTGCGCAGATCATGTGCAGAAGTGTAGTTTAGGAATGCAGGCAACCCGAGCTGCTCCGAAAACAAGCCAAAGGACTACAACTGGAAGCCCCAATGCATCGCTGTTGTGAGGGCTCGAGGCTGAGGCTGAGTTGTTCTCTTGGCTCTTGCTGCCCTTTCGCCCATCCGGGCTGCCCCCCACTCTCCGGTCCTCTGCTTCTCAAGCTCCCTTCTTTAGGCCGTTGAAGCCGCTGGTTGGATTCAGTTCCCGCCTCTGTCCCCTCCGTTACTCTATCCCGGGCCGGCCGTCTTCCTAAGAGTCGCTGCATGTGACGCATGTCGATACCTTCGAGCAGCCACGCTAAAGCGACATGAAGTGAGGGGAGGTGAGGCAGAGCAGTGCACGGTGAGCCGCGACATGGTACGATGTGATAGAAGCACACATATCACCGCCTTGGTCCAGTCGGCTGTCGTAAATCCTCAATGCTGCGCTGTGCATTGCAATGCCAGCTACCATAGGCTGGGTCGCGCCAGGCGAGTTGACCTGGGCGGAGCTGTCCACCGCCATGCAATGCATCTGGACCCAGCTGGCTGGAAACGAGCCGACGAAGACAGTGGGGGATGAGCAGCATGTCTGCACATGTTAGATGACAGTTGCCGGGTGGTATGGTATGGCATTGTATGCTGTTTCATTGCGATCATGATTTGCGTTGCGCGGCATTGCATTTGCAACATTGCAATTGTGGCTGCAACACAGCGTTATCGAATGTGGTTGCTTCTGCCTTAGGATGGAAGCTTTATTGGAGGAGGATTAGAACATGTCCAACGCTGATGTTTCTTGATTGCAGTTGCTGTGGAACTGATATCGCAAGTTGCCGTGGTTTGGGTCAGATTGTACTGGGGTCGCCGATCTCTCCCTCCCAGGTGCTATTCAGGACTTCAGAACAAAGAGCGGGCGAATCAAGACGAGCTTGTCGTTGTACATGTCTGTCCTCAACATACCGTGCTTCGGCTCTTTGCAGGATGAGTCCAGTTCTGCTTCCGAATCGATCTGAAGACATAGACGTCGCCTTATTGATGTTCGAAGGTTGCTGGCAGGTGCCTCCATGGGCCTCCATGTTGATAGTCCAGCCTGGTGTGGTACGGTTGTTGAAAGACCTCCCACCATGGCCACACAGATTTTCAACGAGTGCACGTGATCCAGGCCCTCGAATCTGAAATCAGATCGGAGGGCAATTCAGGTTGCGTTGGGTTCTAGTTCAACAGAAAACATGTCCTTTGCTGCTGCTAGCCAGTCCTGACACATGAGTGCTCTTGTGAGTAACTGGTGCCGCGCAGCGCCCGCAGGCAGGCGTCAGCTTCACCGCATTGTGCCGAGCTGTGATGGCCGCCCTTGATGCGATGCCGAGCTCAAAGACCTGAGGCCAAACAAGTCCACGAAGTCACCTTGTAGCCCTTTCCGCGTGACCTTGGAACTCCGTATGTTACTGGGCTGGGATAGGAAGACGTCTCTATAACGAGACGTATGTGCACACAAGGTACGCAAGAAGCAATAACATATCGACCACATGGACACGTGGCGCGAATAGACAGGGGTCTCGTGTTTGTGTTGCTCTTTCAGCTAGCAGTGAATGGGCGAGCACTACAATTGTGGCTTCTTGGAACCTTGGGATAGCTGCAGGGTTCTGAAGGAGGTGTAGGCAGGATGACAGGGTCGATCAGCAAGCATGAGCCGAATGATCACTCATGAGATCCTTTGCTGAGCCTGCAAGTTTTTCGTCGTTCCACACGCTCACTCTTCGAGCAGAAGTGGTCGAATTGAGCGAGCGGAGCGACAGAAGATTTAGGAGGTGTCATGCATGCTTCTTGTGCGGCATCTCGGCTCCAGAACCTCTGGTCAGTTCAGGGTTCTCAGTAACATCCCCAAGACTCAACGCAAGCAGTGAAGACGATGCAGGCAGTGCATACAACAACACAGCAGACTAACTCCATCGGGGGCAGGCTACAAAGACTTTTTGTAAGAAGCGCCTTGTATCTCGATATCTGGACCATTCATATTCAGTAGGTGCAGATGTGCTCTTCAATGATGACTTCGCAGCTGCATGGCACGATCGTCACGCGCGGCACCCGGGATTGCGCTGCCCGGACAGAGAAGGGGGGCCACTTGCGTCACTTGCGCCAGGTGCCTGAGACTTGGTGGGGGACCTGGAGATGAGCCACTCGGCTGCACCCCACCTTCGGCCCAAGGCAGCAAGAGACCGGAAGCCAGTCCCCATAAGGCCTCTTCTTTGTCGTCATATGTTGGATTCATAGTGGACCAAAGGAGCGATTTTTGCTTGCATATGTTGCAAGGTGTGGATGGCCTCAAGAACGAAGTCGGCAATGAAGACCTGCCGCGTGAAAGCAAAAGAATGTGGTGTTTGTGCTTTCGCAGACGGGCTGACGTGGCAGAGAGCGGCAAGACTCAGGAACCTTGATGCAATGAACTAATCATTGGGCATCTCCTAAAAAGGGGTACCCTTAACAATACCCCCAAATCGTATTCTCCTTAGCACAGGAACGCCCAAAAACGGTACCCCTATTTTCGTAAACCCCATTTACTTCGAACATCCCCACCCAGAACCTGGCGCTCCATGGTGAGATACGGAGTTGGGGAGGTGTTTTTTCTTCAGATGTCCCAGCTCCAGGGGTGGGGCGCTCTTGAAGGCATTCTCTCTGGGGACTTTTCGGGGTACTCTGTGATTCTCTGAAAAGTGACGGAGGGGGCACTCCTGAAATGGGCTGCAAGATTGGTTGAAGAGTGGGCGCTCCAGGGATTCCCGGCCCGAACCTGATAATCCTGGCGAGGAAGCAGAAGAAGAAGAAGAAGAAGAAGAAGAAGAAGAAGAAGAAGAAGAAGAAGAAGAAGAAGAAGAAGAAGAAGAAGAAGAAGAAGAAGAAGAAGAAGAGAAGAAGAATAATAAACAGAAGAAGAATGACAATAAGCATATTCATACGAGAAGAGGGGGGGTGTAGATTTCAGACCTTGTTGCGGAAGCTTGCGCCTGGAGCTTCCAGAGTTGCATGGGGCGCTTTGGCCTCCAACTTCGTTTTACTTGGGTTTAGGGTTTAGGGTTTAGGGTTTAGGGTTTAGGGTTTAGGGTTTAGGGTTTAGGGTTTAGGGTTTAGGGTTTAGGGTTTAGGGTTTAGGGTTTAGGGTTTAGGGTTTAGGGTTTAGGGTTTAGGGTTTAGAGCCAAGAAGGTCGCCCTCGAAGTCCAAGCGAGCGGGGCGTCCACGCGGGACCCTTGCAGCGACCTCAGATTTCCGCCTAAACCCTAAACCCTAAACCCCTAAACACTAAACCCTAAACCCTAAACCCTAAACCCTAAACCCTAAACCCTAAACCCTAAACCCTAAACCCCAAACCCCAAACCCTAAACCCTAAACCCTAAGCCCTAAACCCTAAACCCTAAACCCTAAACCCGAAAGTTGCCCTGTGCAGCTTTCTCGGAGGTTGCCGGTGCCACGGCGGATGGCGCACCCAATCCGCAGCACTGACTGCAAATAATTGTGGGCTGTGTTAACATTGCCGAAGTCTTCCACTGAGGGTTTAGGGTTTAGGGTTCCGCTTAATCTGCTTGGCTTGCCAAGGAATAGCATCAGGGTGGCTGTGCGCATCCGGCCCTTCAGCGCCAGCATCTTACTTCCGCAAACTTGAGGTTCGAGCGCCATCCGGCGGCCCGCAGTTCCGTTGTGTTTGCGAGGCCAAAGAGCTGGGAGAAGGCGGACTGGCGGAAATGGTGCCGTAGCTGCAACAAGGTGTAAGGCTTGCAGGGCAGCTTCTTGTTGTTCTATGACTATGTGGGGGATTCCGAAAGTAGGGGACCCCGAATATAGACCCACAGATAGTAAGATTCCCTTACAGTAAGGACCCAACAAGGTACCCCTAAGTTCGTAAACCCCCCATGTGTTTCTGGGAGCCGGGATCATAGGATGAGGCCCTGCAATTCACAGAAACGAAGGCCTCCAGTAGTGCGAGTTGGTCATTGGAGTTGCCACTCTTGAATCGCTCTTGTGGCGATGTGGCTTAGCCATCAACCCTGCACACGCATCATGACGTAAGACATTTGGGAGCTTATGAAAATAAGGGACCCCTAACATACACCCCCAAAAAGGTAGGATTCCCCTAGAAATAAGGACCCCAACAAGGTACCCCCCTAGTTTCAGAAACCCCCCCCCCCATGCCTACCTGCTCGAAGCCCTTAAGGTCCTCGAGGTCGTAGACACCACCGTGCGAAGCCCAGGGTTGGCAAATTTCTCATGAGGCTCCCAGTTACTGGTATCTCGTTTGAGGGTTTTTCTGAAGGTCCTTGTCTTCGACCTTATCCAAGCCAGACATTTCCGTAGCAAGGGAAGGGGGCCCACATTTTGCCAAGTTCTCACGTTGTGCTACTTTTGGGGCTCTCGAACTCCTCTGCCTGCCTTGGCAGCCCCAGGGCGTTTCATGATGCCAATATGGGGGTTTCCGAAATTAGGGGGTACCTTATTGGGGGGATCCTACTATTTGGGGATTTATGTTGGGGTCCCCTAATTTCGTAAACTCCCATATGTCTTGTTTTGATTTCAGACCTTCTGTAAGCTGTACATCCTGACTTCAGGCTTTAAGCTGAACTAGGGCCATGGTGTAGAAGGGCATCGCCAAACTAGTTGCAGGGTTGGAGTTTGGGTTTGTGAGTGGCAATGCAGAAGTATCTTTGGAGAATCGCCATGTGTTGATTCTAGAAGCATGTTTCCTGTACAGCGCAGTGCAAATCTTTGACTCGGCTCTGCCAGACATCTAGGGCTTAGGGTTTAGGATAGAGCAATTTTTGCCACTTGCAGACCTTGAAGCCAGGTCATCTCAAAAGGGCTGGACCGCTATGGTCATGACAGCGACTACGTCAAGCCAAAACAGTTTACTTTCGACGTCCCGGCATGTTGACATCATGTTGACTTGTGCCTGCTCCATGTCATGGGCCGCCAGGGCATATGTATCATATAGATACATACGTATATACAAGTTCATATACCCACTATTGTATATGTAATGGTGACTATGTATATATATATATATATATATATCTGTGTATGTATGTATATATACATATATATATGTATATATTAATATACATATATATATATATGTATACATATATATATATATATATATATACATATAGAGTATATATGCTTGGTCACTACACGCTGCAGGACTCCGTGTTCAAGTCGACAGACCCTGGTGCCCAGGAGGGCTCCCAGGCTCAGGTCTTCGAGGCAGGGAGCCCCGTTCTTGTGGGCATTCCCTCCCTTTCTTCCGTCGCTGCTGCTGGCACCCTGAACCCTAAACCCTAAACCCTAAACCCTATAAACCCTAAACCCCGAGCCCTGAACCCTGAATACCCTAAACCCTATGATGATAATCATTGTCAGCCCAGAATTTTGCAGGAGCTGGGGATTCCCATCCTGGAGAATGCATTGGATGCTGCTTGGCTGAGGGGCCGTGCTCGCCACGTCTTCCCCATGCGTCTGAAGATGCTCCCTATCGTGGTACACTTAGGGTTTAGGGTTTAGGGTTTAGGGTAGCAATGCTCTGCTGAGGCATACAACGGCTGCATCATGGCATACGGGCAAACTGGTTCCGGGAAGAGCTACAGCGTGTTCAGCACCCAGCGCTGGAGTTGTGAGTAGCCTAGCCTTCGCTCTCAACCATAGATGCCATCATCTGCCAGCTGTCATGTCTCGAGTGACAGACTGCTTACATGGAAGAGTGTCAGGCACGTTCATACTACACGCAAGTAGTTCCGAGTGTACACCCCCCCACGCCTGGTACTACAGCGACGCAGCGCACGCTTCATATTGCTTGTACTGCTTTAGGCTGAGCCTTTTTTCCCCCCTTGGGAATTATACTTCATTTTTGTTCATATAAAACCCAAGACGATATTGAACATATTATTTTTATTAAGGTTTTAAGGGCAGTATAGGAGCCTGTGCCATGGCGACACAAGTCGCACACCCTCTTGTGCAAGACCGTGTGGTCAATGTTGCCCAGAGCGACTTGGTCCTGGAGCAATGCACTCTGGACAAGGCAGGGCGGTAGCTGTTCAGATGTGCCCTAAACCCTAAACCCTAAACCCTAAACCCTAAACCCTAAACCCTAAACCCTAAACCCTAAACCCTAAACCCTTCAACCCTGAGTGCTGGCTCAGAAGTTCTTACGTACCAGTTCAAGCCGGATGGACCCCAAGGAGGTCGAAAAGCAGGAAGCCCCCCAATCTGACAGCAGGTAAGTAGATTATAGATTAGGGTTTAGGGTTTAGGGTTTAATTAGGGTTTAGGGTTTGAAGGTAAGTATCAGTTCCCGTACATGATCATGCGTGCATGCGTTATCGCACTGCACATGTTACGCGTATGTACAAAATAGTCCATACGCACATGTGTATGCATGTAAAGACATGAAATACATACAAACCAGGCCACAATATATACATACAACATATTTAAGGGGCTGCCCTGATGGGCGGGCAGCGCAGGCAGAAGCTCGAGGAGAGTTGCTCTGCAAACCGGGAAGGGGGCGCGCGTGTGCGCCCGCCCGGCGTGCATCCCGATGGGGTCAGCTGTAGGCTTTCATAGTCGGAACGCACGGGTTTGGCGAACAGAGGGAAAGCTTGTGCACGCGTGGGCCGCCGTTTCATCCAAGGCCGGAGCCGCTGATGCTCATGATGCGCGCCCGGCATCCCGGACTGGGGCCGCTGATGCTCCTGATGCGTGCGCTCCCTGTGGGGGGCTTTGGGGGGTGTCCGGGGCTATCCCATTTTGCGCAAAATATAGCCGTTCACCGTGTGGTCCAGTGCGGAGCACGGCTAGCCTAAAGGCTTGCCGAGGTATAATATATACAATATATATATATATACATGTATGTGTATATGCTGTGCAACGATTCGTTTTACCCCTGTATCCATGAACTTCCTGAGTCCGCCACTTCACTCGTGGTAAAGCCCCCTGCCGCCTAGAGCCTAAGTCCTAAGCATTGAAAAAGCTCGGTAAAAGACAAAAAGGCCCGAATAAGATAGAACCCTACCAGGAAACCACAACCCCTGCCGCCTACCGTAGGCTGCTTTGCACTTCGGCATCATGCCCCGTGCGAGAAAGAAACCCTGACCCGAAACACTTAACCCTAAACACTGGGATGTTCCCCCTTGTACGAGCAGTCCATCATAGGGATAATCATAGGGGGTACTATAATCCCTCGTCAGGAGCTGTTCGTACAACGGGGAACATGCCAACGTAGACGCCCTAATCCCTAGAAAGTTTAGGATACTAGATCCCTAAACCCTAAACCCTAAACCCTAAACCCTAAACCCTAAACCCTAAACCCTAAACCCTAAACCCTAAACCCTAATTAAACCCTAAGCCCCCCAGGAGGCCAGCGACTCTCACGAGAGCTTGCTCGAAGCGAGCGGCTGGACGATGAAGCTGCTCGATGGCATGTTCCCCCCCCCCCCCCCCCCGCTTTCCAAGGTCCAAAAGCGCCCTAAACCCTAAACCCTAAACCCGAAACCCGAAACCCTAAACCCTAAACCCTAAACCCCGGACCCTAAACCCCGAACCCTAAACCCTACCTCCCCCGCAAGTTCCGCAAAATGCTCCGGGATGGGTCCGTGCTTGATGGGCGGACAGACGGAAAGCAAGAGATTCCAGCAGATGATTCCAGCAGAAGCCGCGTTGAGCGGAGATGGACCCAGGTCACATCCCACTTACTTGGAGGTTCATGGTACTTCAGAGCCCAATTATAACTGTACTTTATCACCCAACTATCACCATATTCGGGCACTTAAAGGGCTTATAAGTGGGTTTTTCAGCACAGTTAGAATTGGGTACGAAGTGCTTGTAAGCTTTGGTGTGACGCTTGTGTTCTGCAACATACAGTCTCAGCCCGGAAAACGTCGCCCAACCAAACTCGCAAGGCGGTTGAAACCTCGCAGGGCGTGCACAGGAGTTCAATGGAGTGAAGAACTATCCACAGGACTGTAAAGACTTGAAAAGCCTGGACTCTACAGCGGCTGTAGAAGGCTTTGAAGGGCCTCGTGAAAGTACAACTTTTGTCCCTAAACCCTAAACCCTAAACCCTAAACCCTAAACCCTAAACCCTAAACCCTAAACCCTAAAACCTAAACCCTAAATCCTAAACTTCTGTTTGGGCGCCAATCCTACTTTGGTGGAAGTGGAACCTCCGAAACCCTCTGCTTCGAAGCCCTACGGTTCGTATCGAAACCCTACACTCAAAAGTTGTTCAGGGTCGTAGAGCTTCACCCTAAACCCTAAACCCTAAACCCTAAACCCTATACCCTAAACCCTTCAGCTTGTGGCGATCTGAGCCACAGTACAGGGGGCGCCCTACAACAACGCGCTCAACAGTCAGCAGAGTAACAGTGATAGGCAATGCAGTTTTCCCCGACTGAAGCAAAACGACGTCCAGGAATTCTGTGAGTTTACAACGTCCACGATTGCAAAATACTCAAGAAACAAGCTTCTTTCGTACTGGAAATGACCACGCCGAACTTTAAAGTCTGGTTCCCTCTTTTGGAGATCGACGTGCTAGGCTGCTCGCGAACGGTTTTTGTTTTCTCCTAGAAATCATCCCCAAGATCTCAGCGAAATCCCGGGGAAAAGTACCGGGCCCAAGCATACGGCCCATGTGGAAGTGCGCGGCCGGGAGCCAGGTTGCGGGACTTCGTGCAGCTGAGCTTCGGCCCAGGTGCCCGAACTCTTGATTGGGGTTTAGGGTTTAGGGTTTAGGGTTTAGGGTTTAGGGTTTAGGAGTGAGGGCTTCGGGAAGCTGCATGGCTTGTAGTGTGGGTCATGAGTCCCGGCGCAGGTCTCAATTCATTCCGCTCCATGGAGCTTTGTCAGCAAGCTATGCTTCATTGAGCGCTCAGCTGCTCTCTCCCTAAACCCTAAACCCTAAACCCTAAACCCTAAACCCTAAACCCTAAACCCTAAACCCTAAACCCTAAACCCTAAACCCTAAACCCTAAACCCTAAACCCTAAACCCTAAACCTCTGTTCCGTTGAGTGGAGCGTAAACCCTAAACCCTAAACCGAGTGGAGAGTGCCAACGAAACCAGGTCTCTTCATCTCGGCGCATAAATATGCAGCCAGATGTGGACAATGTGGACCAAAGTCGCTTCCACACCCCAGAGCAGGATTGAATCTCAACTTGCTCTGACAAGTATCATGCTATTCTTGTCATCATTGCTTAGGTTTAGATTCTCATTATTTAGTGTAGTTCTAGCTCCTTCGATGCTATTTCTGTTCCTCGTACCGTTTCTACCATAGGTGCCGCGCATGTGAGATTCTCGCCAGGACCCCCCTTGCAGCCCCTGCGTGGTCAGAAGAGCCCTTCGCTTTGGGGATCGGTGCTCAGGGGCAAGAGTGCCGAAATGTGTAGCAGATGAGAGCAGAAGGAGATGCTGCTTGCAAGACTGTGAGATGTATTGTGACACAGCAAGGAGAAGGAGTGTTTCAGGACAACACGACACTGAGGATCCGAGTTTCATCTCGCCTCCTTCTTCATACTCACTTTCAGTGAGCTCACCAACCTCCCCGACATCACCAGCATCTACGCAGTCGTGCTCGCCACGGGCAACGAGTGCTCCTCCGGCGTGCACGACTTACTGCTGCATGCATAAGCCATAGGCCAGCAGTTGAAGCCGATTGCGCTTTTTTGGCCCCTTGACCCAGAAGGAGCAGGACTCGATGATAGTTTTATGTTCACATGCTATGGGCATTCTACCGACTGGACTTGTTTCGCGAGGCGTATGCCGGAACAAGCTGAAGAAGATGAAGATGAGGATGATGAAAGCGACATGAGATTTGTTCAGGCCCAAAATTCCTGCCACATGTCATGCAGCAGTCTGTGGTTTTTCCTGGCGCCTGTACTGTGAAAGGCAGTCACCGATCGCCGACACAGAATAAAGCTGCGCTACAGTGTGGCTTGCGCGCGCAGTGTTGATACTTTGCCATCCCTGGAAGTCATCAGGCCCCCGGTGGCATATGTGAAACCCTTCAGGTTTTTTGATGAGGTTTAGGGTTTAGGGTTTAGGGTTTAGGGTTTAGGGTTTAGGGTTTAGGTTTAGGGTTTAGGGTTTAGGGTTTAGGTTTTAGGGTTAGGTCTGCTGTGAATCGTTGATATTTGGCAGGCCGCAGAAGTCCAGCTTGTGGCTCCGGAGGAGGAGACCGGCGTTTTGCATGGTTTTGGGTTTGCCTCAGTTGCCTCATGGGGGAGGTTTAGGGTTTAGGGTTTAGGGTTTAGGGTTTAGGGTTTAGGTTTAGGGTTTAGGGTTGAGGAGCAGCGTTGACCGATGGCGCTGTCGGAAGCCAAACGCCACCTTAAGCCCTGCAGGCGAACAGTCAGTTCGGGATCGGCGCACAGCGACAACGAAGACGTACCGGAGAAGCAAATGGCTCTGGACAGGCAACGTGCCGTGCATCCAACACTTCCGAGTTGGGGGTTTACGAAAATAGGGGGGGACCCCTAAAACAGACCCCAAGATAGCAGGAGCCCCTTACAATAAGGAGCACAAGAAGGTACCCCCTATTTTCGGAAACCCCAGTTGCTGGCGAAACGATCGGAAGACACGCCGTAGAATCAAGATGGCGCGCTTCATCTGAAGGTCGCTCAGGGTGGACGTTCAAGCAGGCTCGTGCGGGGCCTAAACCCTAAACCGTAAACCCTAAACCCTAAACCCCAAACCCCAAACGCTAAGCCCTAAACCCCACTCTGTCAGATTGGCTTGCGATCTGAAGTTCTGAGAAGCTCTGAAGACGACGGAACGAAGGAGAAGCACCGCAACCGCAAAGATCTGTGAAGGTTGCGTTTACATTTGGCCGGGCAGGCCATAGCCAGAAAAGGTAGCATGTCCTGCGTTGTGTGTGCCCACAGCACCTCCGGATTTCGATGCCATGCTTGTAAGGGCGCTTTTTGGCTCTTTAAGAATTTGAAAGCCGTGCGCAACCCGCAAGCGTCTTTTGGGCAACTTGAATTCCTCTAATACTGCTGCAATACGAAAAGAGAGACTTTCGAATGGCTCCAGTAGTCCACATCAGAGTCGTGCCAGGCAGCTGTACCCTAGACCCCACGCCCAAGATATACACCCCAAACAGCCCTAAAGCTCCAACAGACCAATGCCTCAAGCCCTCCACCCTAAACCCTAAACTCCCTGAACCCTTTAGACCCCTAAACCCTACACCCCCTCGGCCCGAAATCCTGTCAGCTCTACGAAGTTCTACGAGTCATGTGGCACACTGAGCCTCTCAGCCGACAGCTGCAGCAAAGTTGGACCGACAGAATGCCAGAGGATGTTTTTGCAAGCTGCCATGGCCATGCCGGGATCTTCCTCAATCCCTAAACCCTAAACCCTAAACCCTCTTATGCTGTAAGATGATGCGTCCCAGGTCTCATCTCTCCAGAGGCAGACCCTAAACCGGCATGTTACGGGCAGCAATTCCAGCCATTCTGTTGTAGGTGTCACCTCTGCATATACAAGTATTTTTGACATCTATTTTTTGTAAATATGTGCTCCCTAGACTGCCCTGCGCATGCTCATTCAGAGAGCGAGTTGCACCCTAGGGAGCCACCCCCAACACTGGGGATTGCCTAAGTCCGCTTCAGCCATCTGGCTGGAGCCTGCTCTTCCCTAGAAGTTGAATTCGTCTGAGGGAGTTAAGAGACCCACGTGCACCTGCACAAACCAGGTGCCCTCTGCATCCTAAGGCAGCGGTGGCTGAGATGCTCGGTGCCTTGCGTGGGAGATGTGCCCGTTTTTTGATGCCCGTGGCACGTTTTAGTTTTGTTTTGGGGATGGAATTGCGGCCAGTCAGAGACTCGCGTTTCAAGCCAAGAGTTAAAGGCAGGGTTCACTCAAGTAGTTGTCCCAGACTGGCTCAGCTTGATCCTATTTGGTGTTCTCGCAGAAAGGGCGAGAGATGGGAGACAGAGAGAGAGAGAGAGAGAGAGCGCAGGTTTTCATGCATACCAGTTTGCAGCACTTATTGCTCTGCACCGCCGAACAGCCTAGCTGCTCGCAAGCCGTGCATCAGTCAGCTCGAGCTGATTTGGGGTCAGTTGAGCTGAATTGCAGCGCTGCTATTCCTTTCCAACGTTTTTCTTTGTGCGTGCGTGTGTGTGTGGTTTGTTTCTGACGAAAACTTGTTGAGAAATTGTTCAATTCCTGGTGTCGGCAGTTCATGCATGATCACTGCATGGGTTCGCTTGCAGGCTATAATGGGGGCTCTAAAGGGTCTCTCTTTTCGGAGACACTCTTATGATGGATTCCTTTGTAGAAAGGTGCAATGTGAGACCCTTACACAGAGCAACCTCCTTATAGCCGCAGCAAAACACGTTTTAGTGTCTGCTCCTTACAACAGTGTCCTTTCCAAGAAAGGGCGCGCCAACGAATCGAGAGTTGAAAACGCAAGCACGAGCACGCCAAGAGCATTCCGGGAGAGAGGTGGCACCAAACCGGGTTCAGGGTTTCGGGTCTAGGGTTTAGGTGCACAAAAACCGGGTTAAAACCAGAAAATGCCCCAAACTGATCTAAGCCCTGGTTGCGCCCAGGTTGGGCGACCCTACAAGCGAGAGGGATCAAGGCCTGTTGTGAAGCCCTCAGCAAGACAGTACGGAACTGTGAGTTCATCTAATTAAATGGGGGTTTGCGAAAATCAGGGGACCCTTAATATGGACCCCCAAATAGTAGGATCCCCTTATCATACGGACCCCAATAAGGTACCCCAAATATCGTACTGTAAACCCCAAATAAGCGTTCCTTTTTGGGGAAGCCTTTGGGGTCTCCGTTGTCATATGAAGGGGTTGAATTCATCAACCAGGGGGGTAAAACGGGGAGAGGCTCGGATTGAACCTAAGCGATGATCGTCCAAGTGCAAGAACCCTAAACCCTAAACCCTAAACCCTAAACCCTAAACCCTAAACCCTAAACCCTAAACCCTAAACCCTAAACCCTAAACCCTAAACCCTAAACCCTAAACCCTAAACCCTAAACCCTAAACCCTAAACCCTAAACCCTAACCCTAAACCCTAAACCCTAAACCCTAAACCCCAAACCCTAAACCCTAAACCCAAGAGCTTTTGGCTCCAAGGCCGCGGGCGTGTGAATGCCTTTTCGAGATGATCTCGAAGCTTGAGCCCAAGGTCCCCAGTGGCCCCGCCTCATTGCGCAGTAGCACCATGTAATATCGTGCAGTATCTATTATGCCTGAGTACATGAGATAATATTCGATATGTATATATATATATATATCTGTCTATATATATATATATATAATTATATTTATATTTGTATACGTGATAGAGAAAAACAAGCATGTATTGAAGTGTATTAAATACACAAATAGATACATAAACTAAATAAAGGTGTGTATATATATACACATATCTACAATATTGTGGGGATATTGTGTCTAGACGTGGGAGCCCACGTCTGAGCAACCTAAGGCAGAAGCAGGATGTTGAGAAAGCAAGCACGCCTTTGCAGACTGCGGCCGTCAGCTTACAGCTCCATGATCCATGCAAATTTACTGCTTTAAAAAAGCAGCGCGTCGTGGAGCTCACGGCCCATGAGTCCGCCTTGGGATGTTCCCTCTTCTACTAACAGTCCTTAATAGGGATTCTAATCGGGGGTACTATAATCCCTCTACTAACAGTCCTTAGTAGGGATTATCATCGGGGGTACTAGAATCCCTCTACTAGCAGTCCTTAGTGGGGATAATAATCGGGGGTACTAGAATCCCTATGAAGGACTGTTAGTAGAAGGGGGAACATCCCAAAGTCCGCCTTCCTAGGTTTTGGCCAGCTACCTGGAGATATATCAGGACTCCGTTAGCGCGCTTCTCACCTTCCCCCTAACATATATTCCTACACCCTAAACCCTAAACCCCAAACCCGAAACCCTAAACCCTAAACCCTAAACCCTAAACCCTAAACCCTAAACCCTAAACCCTAAAACCTCAACCCTAAACCCTAAACCCTAACCCTAAACCCTAAACCCTAAACCCTAAACCCTAAACCCTAAACCCTAAACCCTAAACCCTAAACCCTAAACCCTAAACCCTAACCCATAAACCCTAAACCCTAAACCCTAAACCCTAAACCCTAAACCCTAAACCCTAAACCCTAAACCCTAAACCCTAAACCCTAAACCCTAAACCCTAAACCCTAAACCCTAAACCCTAAACCCCACACCCTAAACCCTAAGCCCTCCCTCTTGTGCTCCTCCCTGTGCTCTGAAGGAGAAGATGTATGATCTCCTGGTCAACACGAGGACAGATCTGCAAGTCAGGCTCGGACCCCCTTCAGACGGATCAGGATTTCGGGCTTCTCACCCTTTAACACAAACCCCAAACCCCAAACCCCAAACCCCAAACCCTAAACCCCAAACCCTAAACCCTCTTGCCCAGGCTACATCCGGCGTTGGGCCCCCACGTTCCAGGCCTCATCCAAAGCCCTGTTTCCACCAGCAAGGAGGTCCAGAGCTCAGCAGAGTGCTTCCTTAGGGTTTAGGGTTTAGGGTTTAGGGTTTAGGGTTTAGGGTTTAGGGTTTAGGGTTTAGGGTTTAGGGTTTAGGGTTTAGGGTTTAGGGTTTAGGCTCAGGTGACGTAGCAGGTGCTGCTCATTTTTCCGGTCAGTTCACCAGATCTGCTCCCACAAGTTTTTGAGGTGCGGGAACTGCTGGATTTTGGGGCAAAGAATCGGGCTGTGGGCTTGGCACTCGGGGCACGACTCGGCACTTCATTGTGCCAAGTTGCTTGCAGTCTCTCTCCCTCTCTCTCTTTCAAGGTTTAGGGTTTAGGGTCTAGGGTCTAGGGTTGAGGGTTCATCTTGGTTTGAGCAGGCGTTCAGTCGTGGGTCCAAAGCGCCTCACACCCGTGTCAGGTGCCACCAGCATGAACGCAAACTCGTCCCGGTCACATGCCGTGTTCACCTTGGACATTCGTTTGAGCTACTCAGGGCGGGCAGCTCAGATGTGTGCCTCGCGGTATATTAATACAAAAAAACAAGCATAATACTATAAGTGCTCGCGGAAGTGAGGCCCCAAGCCCGAGATCTCCAGTCGAGAATCCACTTCGTGGTGCCTGACCTAGCGCTCATGGGATCCAAGCCCAGAAGCCCTCAAAAAGCCAGGCAAAGAATCGGCTGAAGAACGTCCACAACCGTCCGACAGCATCCAAAACCAACGCCTTGCTAAACCCGAAACCCTAAACCCTAAACCCTAAACCCTAAACCCTAAACCCTAAACCCTAAACCCTTACAAGCCCGTGCTGTCGCTGAAGGACCTGGCTGGAAGTGAGAAGCAGAAGAAGACTCACGCGTCGGGGGAGCGACTCCAGGAGCGGAGCCACAACGGCTCAAATAACTCATTGCAGTTTAGGGTTTAGGGTTTAGGGTTTAGGGTTGTAGTATTATAGATAATACAGTTTTTTTGCATGAAATTGTAGTATATGATTGTACTAGAAAAGGAGAACATCGTGATATGGTGCGAGAGTAATGTCAGCGCGTTATATAGCACGATATCATATGTCATATTGATTATATGTCGTGGGTTTGAGAGTTTCGGAATGATTTGGGTAAGATTTGTTGGGGGCTCTTGGGCTTGTGAATGTTTGAGGGATGTCGGTGGTTTTTGAGCTTTGGGGGTTTTGAGTGCCAATCTTCGGAAGCGGCAGGAAGGCATTGCCATCAACCAGTCGCTGTCCGCCCTCAGCCGGGTGATTCAGGCCTTGGGCCACTTACTCTAAACCCTAAACCCGTTCACAAGAGTGCACGTGATCGTCTACAGCTGGGCAGGCGCTTGCGGGAACGGCGGGCAGTGGCGTACTGCCCGTCTTTCGTGAGTCAAAGCTTACGCTCTTGCTGAAGGCCAGGGTGATCAGAGTGATCAGAGGCGATGGCGTCATGCTCAAGTTTCAGGGTCGCTCTGCTTTTGCGCGACAGGACGCACTGAGTGGCAACAGCCGCACAGCTTCTTGGACTCAGCTGGGGCTTTGGGTTTTTGATCCAGTGCTGTATTCGCACACATAGCGGAGGTCCTGCTGGCTTGCGTCAGCCCTGCGCGCGCGAATTTCGAAGAGTCCATCAGCACCCTCGAGTTTGCTGCCAAGCACCTACGGCCATCGGCCATCCTCCCTGCAGATCATGTGGGCAAGCGGCTGTGAAAGTACCAAAGCCAGGGTCCTTCAGCACAGGCCCGTTGCAAGTTGATCAAGACGAACGCCAAGAAGAATGAGCAGGAGAAGTGCTGAGAGAGGTTGAGGCACTGGCCCGCAGGTCGTAGGTCTTGCCAACATGATTCTCCACCTCCCCCCCCTCTTTTCATCGGAGCACCCCACATCGAAAGTCGCGCAGGACAAGCGTGAGTTGATTGAGACGCTCTCCAAGGAAAAGCAAGAAGTTCAGGACAGGTTGGAGGTGGGCAGCGCAGGTTTAGGGTTTAGGGTTCAGGGTTCAGGGTATAGGGTTTAGGGTTTAGGGTTTTCAGATGTGCCTTGGGTTCCCGAGGTCCCATACAAGTGAGTCGACTCTAATTCGGGCTCGCGGGAGCACGCTACCAGGGATGGTGAGGACCTCTTCCCGATGCCTGTTCCTGAGACTGGGGACTCCTCCTGAATTTGGGATGAGACCCTAACCCCTAACCCCTAACCCCTAACCCCTAACCCCTAACCCCTAACCCCTAACCCCTAACCCCTAACCCCTAACCCCTAACCCCTAACCCCTAACCCCTAAACCCTAAACCCTAAACCCCAAACCCTAAACCCTAAACCCTAAACCCTATTCACTGCCACTGTAGGCTTTGCTAGGATGTGTAGAGTACGCTGCGTCCGACGCTGGACTCCATAGCACCGAAAGCCGAAAGCTGAAGCCCTAAACCCTAAACCCCCAAGTCCTCAGACCCGAGAGCCCTATGGCAGGCGGAGCGACAGCAGAAGCTCCTGCTTCAGCAAGAGCTGGAGAGGGAAGTGGAGGAATCCAAACGAAACCAGGACGTCGGCTGCTGTGTTCAAAGCATTGGGCAATTTTTGGGTCTTGAGGGCTTCCATTTTTGCACAATAAGCACATTAAGCCCTAAACCCTAAACCCTAAACCATCCTAAACCCTAAGCCCTAAGCCCTAAACCCTAAACCCTAGACCCTAAACCCTAAACCCTAAACCCAGCTTCCGAAGCTGAGAGGACCTGGCCCAGAAGATGCAGGAGGAGAAGCAGCGCATTGAAGAGCAGCTCAGGAGCTTGCAGTCGGGGCCCCCGACTTTCGTCAAGGAGTCACTGGCGTCCTTGTAGGGTCTTGGGATTTGGGGGTTTAGGGTTTAGGGTTTAGGGTTTAGGGTTTACGGTTTAGGGTTTAGGGTTTAGCATCCTATAACCGAGGATTGCGGAGCAGCAGCTTCAGCTGGTGAGAAAGGAGCAAGATGACAAGGAGAAGGCAGAGAGCTCTGCGCCAGTGTGAAGCACGGTCACATGGGGCAGTTTCCCTAAACCCTAAACCCTAAACCCTAAACCCTAAACCCTAAACCCTAAACCCTAAACCCTAAACCCTAAACCCTAAACCCTAAACCCTAAACCCTAAACCCTGAACCCTAAACCCTAAACCCTAAAGTTGACTCAGTTCACCTGCTAGGAGTGGGATCGCCTGCAGCGGCTGAATGAGGAGAAGGAGGCGCTTGGGCAGTGAGCAGATGCCATCTGCCGCAGCATCCAGAGAGGGGGATTCTTGAATCAAGCATGTCCTCTCAAGATGCCAGGCACAGCTCCAGGAGCGATTGCAGCAGATCGATGCCAGCCATGCTGAGTCTGCATGGAGCTCAGACTTGGTTGTGGACCTTGGGCCATGGTCGTGGAGCTTTAGTCAGCTTTCTCAAAGTGAGCTGCGCGTGAGCTGGCAAGAGTTTTCAACCCCCTAAGCACCCCCCCCCCCACACCTAAACCGGCCCTAAACCCGAAAACTCCGCAACCCACCAAAACCCGCCTCAAACCCTAAACCTTATAAACCCTAAACCCTAAACCCTAAACCCTAAACCCTAAACCCTAAACCCTAAACCTCAAACCCCTACATTTTGAACCGGGCCTCCCTTCCCAAGGCGGAGATGGAGCGTCAGCTGCGCGAACTCCGGGAGCTACAGGAGTCTGGGGCCGAGCCAGCTGTTCAATGTGCGGGTTTCAGTTTGGGATTTTTGGGAGGTTTTTGTTAGGGTTTAGGGTTTAGGGTTTAGGGTTTAGGGTTTAGGTGGGTTCTGGGCTTGGGTTGAATCAGCCCTTCCAAGCCAGTGGGGTGGACGACCAGGGGCCGGAACCGGGCAGACACCTCGGGGAGGCTTGCCTGAGGATGTGCGATGTTTTTGGTCACCCTTACCAGGTTGGAGGCGAATGAAAGTCGGCCCACCAGACAGATCAGTACATGTGCAACCAGGCGACATGGAAACCTCCTTCCCAAAACATGATCTTGAACTTGGTTCTGAGATGCTTGTCTGTGCTATAGACTCAGTGGACGCCGCTGACTAGTTGAGTTGAGCTTCAAATCCGAGTCCGTAGCTGCGATGCCGATGTCCTTTTCTGTAGCCCCAGGCGAGAAAACGCCGCCAGAGCTGAAGAACTGCGGAACATGCAGGTCGGGGGGCAGTTTGGCACCATGGAAGCAGCTGTGCTACGGTTGTGGTGGAACCCTTTCCCCTAAAGCCTAAAGCCTAAAGCCTAAAGCCTAAAGCCTAAAGCCTAAAGCCTAAAGCCTAAAGCCTTAAAGCCTAAAGCCTAAAGCCTAAAGCCTAAAGCCTAAAGCCTAAAGCCTACAGCCTGAAGCCTAAAGCCTAAAGCCTGAAGCCTGAAGCCTAAAGCCTTAAGCCTTAAGCCTTAAAGCCTAAAGCCTAAAGCCTAACGCCTAAAGCCTACAGCCTGAAGCCTAAAGCCTAAAGCCTAAAGCCTAAAGCCTAAAGCCTAAAGCCTAAAGCCTGAAGCCTAAAGCCTAAAGCCTAAAGCCTAAACCCTAAACCCTAAGCCTAAACCCTAAGCCCTGAACCCTAAACCCTAAACCCTAAAGCCTAACCCTAAACCCAAACCCTAAACCCTAAACCCTACAGGAGCGGGAGCAGAGACAGCAGCAAGAGCTGGAGCGCATGCAGCAAAAGAAGGTGCCGCTGGGGATGGTTGTGCAGGAAAAATCCCTCCCTTCGTGTTTGGGCTTCTTCTTTTCGGGTTTAGGGTTTAGGGTTTTAGGGGTTTAGGATTGCCGTGCAGGCTGAAGAGCTCTCACAAGCTGAGCGGGAACGTCAGGAGGTCGTGTCCGAGCTTCAGGCCAGCAGTCACGATGTCTTGGCATGTCAGTGGGCATTGAGCGGGAAGCAAGGAACGGTGTTTGTTTTGACTGACCATGTCAGAATCGACTTATCGATAGCCGATAGCCCCCTCCATCACCCCAGACCCCTAAACTCCTGGTCTCCCCGTCGCTTCACTCCGCCCTTCCAACTTCAAACCCTCTTGGCATGCACACGCGGAGCTCCATGCTTGCAGCACGACGATGCTCCCTGCCTCTTGTGGTCCAAATTCCTGGCGTGAAAGCCAGGGCCGGACCGAAGCTCTGTATTCAAGAGCACTTGCACTTGTGAAACTTGTGAGATACCTTTCAAGAAGCTTCTGGGTTGTTAAGGGCTTTGTGGGAAGTTACAATAGCATGGACTATTGGGGGAGATTGGGGTGCATGTAGTATGGCTTCCTGATTCAGGTGACGTAATTCAAGTCCTTAGCAGCAACCCAAACACTTCAACTAGGCATGTCCCCCCCCCCCCCCACACTCTAGTTTACCCCCCCTCCCCCCCACTCTCTAGTTTACCCCCCAAAATACTCTAATCCCTACAATCCCATAGAGTCCCTAACCCCACCCAACTTGGCCTTCCAAAGGCCAAGCTGCACGAAGTTCAGCAGCGTGAGGCCACCTTTCATGCTTTGATCGCGCACCCAAAACCCCCCCAAAAACCCTAAACCCTAAACCCTAGACCCTAAACCCCAAACCCCAAACCCCAAACCCAAGTCCTACTAAGTCCTATAGCCCTATACTGGCCCTGGAAGCCTACAAGCTGTCAACCTTGAAACCTCGAATCCTACGGATTCGCAGAGCCTTGTAAGCCTAGAGATCCATTTAGAGTCTGGACCTACAACCCTGAAAACCTCCAAGGCCCTCCAAGGCCCCCCCCCCCCCCCCCCCCCGAAAAAACACCAAAAAGTTAGACCCTAAACCCTAAACCTTAAACCCTAAACCCTAAACCCTAAACCCTGAACCCCGGCAACGTTGGGCACCACAGGAGGACGAGCGGCGCCGCATCGAGGATGCTCGGACTGCGGAGGTCGAGCTCTTAAGGTTTTTTTTTTTTTATATAAATTTTAAAGGGTTTTTAGGTTTTGTTTTTAAAGTTTTTTTGAGGGTTTTTAGGGTTTTAGGTTTTTCTTTTTAAAGTTTTTTTCCCCATGTTCGGTGTGGGGTTGTTAGATTTTGTATTCTCAACTCTTCTCCTCGCCCGGAACTCTTCTCCTCGCCCGGTCTACTCCTAGAGACTCCCTGGAGTGCCCAACCCCAGAGAGTCCCTGGAGTGCCCAACCCCAGAGTCTCCCTGCAACCCCCAAAACTCCCTGCAGTGCCCACCAGAAACTGCTGGAGTGCTCAACCCCAGAGCCTTCCTGGAGTGCCCAAATCCAGAGTCTCACTGAAGTGCCAACCCCAGAGACTCTTTGGAGTGCCCAACTCAGAGAATTGCTTGGAGTGCCCAACCCTGGAGCGCCCCTGGAGTGCCCAACCCCAGAGACTCCCTGGAATGCACAATGCATATCCCTAAGGTGGGGATGTTCGAAGCAAAATAATTTGGGATTTAGGCTTTTTAGGGTTTTTGGGGTTTTTAGGGTTTTCAGGGTTTAGGGTTTAGGGCTTCAGGAAGCCTTCAGAAGTACCCCGTAGTAGGAGCCTACTATAGACCCACGGTATTTCTCATAGTGGGACCGATGACCATGGTGTTTTTTTGGATTGCAAGCACAGCGCCTTTCGGGCAACACAAGCTCTGTAGCGCAAGTCGTAAGGTAATCGCAAGGTCAAACCCCCAAGGGGTGGTTCAGCCTGGCCGGGAACCCTAAACCCTGAACCCTAAACCCTAAACCCCTAAACCCTTAAACCCCTAAACCCCTAAACCCCTAAACCCCTCAACCCCGAAACCCCTAAACCCCTAAACCCCTCAACCCCTAAACCCCTAAACCCCTAAACCCCTAAACCCCTAAACCCCTAAAGCCCTAAACCCCTAAACCCCTAAAGCCCCTAAAGCCCTAAAGCCCTAAAGCCCCTAAAGCCCTAAAGCCGCTAAACCCCTAAAACCCCTAAACCCCTAAACCCCTAAACCCCTAAACCCCTAAAGCCCCTAAAGCCCCTAAAGCCCCTAAAGCCCCTAAAGCCCCTAAAGCCCTAAAGCCGCTAAAGCCCTAAAGCCCCTAAACCCCTAAAACCCCGAAACCCCTAAACCCCTAAACCCCTAGACCCCCTAAAACCCCTAAAGCCCTACACGACAGGTCGAGCTTCGCCAGCGCATCGAAGAGGAGATGCCGAAGCCTCAGCGCTGCTCTGAAGCCACGGTTTAGGGTTTAGGGTTTAGGGTTTAGAGTTTAGGGTTTAGGGTTTAGGGTTTAGGGTTCAGGGTTGCCCTTGGCGGACTCTTGCGTGCTTTCCTTAGGAAGCGCTCGCAGAATCGAGAGGAGGCCGGATCAAAACTCGAGCCGCTCGAGCTGAGCCCCCCAGCACTTCTGCCAGGACTTGAAGCGAGAGCTTCAAGGCCTTCAGAGCCTCAGCGACAGCCGTCACCTCAGAAGGCTGCGTAATCGAAATAACCCTAAACCCTTAAACCTTAAACCCTAAACCCTAAACCCTAAACCCCAAACCCCAAACCCTAAAGCCTAAACCCCAAACCCAAAACCGTACTCTCGAGCTCCCCAGGCTGGGCTTTGAAGAACGCTGACATCGAGAAAACAGCTCAGGCAACCTCGGGAGATCCATTTGCCCTTGGAGTACTCAGAGTACTCAGAACCTCAATTCTAACTGCACTTACCAGCCCCTAAGTCCTCAAAGTAGGTGATAAGAAGACATCTAACGGGGGTTATAAGTACCTCGCGAGATCTGTTTGCCCTTGCCTACTTGGAGGTTCATGGTGCTCATAGCCCCAACTATCACCGGGTTTTTGGGTTTAGGGTTTGGGGTTTGGGGCTTCTACCCCCAATTCTAACTGCACTTATCAGCCCCCCGAAGTCCTCTGAGTAGGTCTTAAGTAGACTTAAAATTGGGTTATAAGTACCCACAAACCTCCAAGTAACTTGGGTCTTTTCTTGAAGGAGCACAAAATGTTCCGTGAGCGTCTTCTCAAAGAGCCGGCGCCTGAGTTCCCTCTGGTCTTCTGGCCATCTCCTTTCCTTGACCCTAAACCCTAAACCCTAAACCCTAAACCCTAAACCCTAAACCCTAAACCCTAAACCCTAAACCCTAAACCCTAAACCCTAAACCCTAAACCCTAAACCCTACCCTAAACCCTAACCCTAAACCCTAACCCTAAACCCTAAACCCTAAACCCTAAACCCTAAACCCTAAACCCTAAACCCTAAACCCTAAACCCTAAACCCTAAACCCTAAACCCTAAACCCTATAGACAAAAAACCCAAAACCCAAAACCCTAAACCCTAAACCCTAAACCTTCCCAAACCCTAAAGGGGGAAAGAGAGGCTCGGCATCTCTGGAATGGAGCATGACATGGAGGCACATCGGGAGACGGTGGTGTTGGTGCGGAGCGTGGCCCAAGCTGTGTTTTAGGGTTTAGGGTTTAGGGTTTAGGGTTTGTGCTCCCCCTTCTTGCTGCCCGTGCAGGATGCCCATAAAGTTCCACGCCTCGTGAACATGAACCCTGACCCTTCCTTGGAGGTGCGCGAGGGCACTTTCTCATGCGAGATTCGGGGGGGTCTGGGGTTTAGCGTTTAGGGTTAGGGTTTAGGGTTTAGGGGTTATAGGGTTTAGGGGTTATAGGGTTTAGGGGTTATAGGGTTAGGGTTTAGGGTTTAGGGTTGGGAGCGATTTGTGGCAGTTTTTTTTGCCTGTCAGGGCTGCTTGATTTACTATCTTCCGCTGGGTGAGACGTCCCCTCCTTAATCTTGCTGGCTCTTAGTAGGGAATGGGCGAAGGAGGTGCCGTGCAGAATCTCTTAAAGGGTTTACATACATATATATATATATATTGAGGGGGATATAGGGTACCTCATTCCCTCATCCCCTACGAAGAACCAGCAATCAGTTTTCCAATCCCTTCAGACCATGCACCCAGCGGGGGCTCTGAGGGGAATTGGCGCCGACCAGCAGCAGTGCCACGTCCAGAACTCAAGAGTTTCGTCTGGTTTCGTTATAATGATTGCCTTCCTACAGTATCCTACTATATACTTGTACTCTTGCTATACGACTATATGAGTATATGAGTTATACAGTTGTACTACTATAATATTATTTTACATCAGTGCAGCCACATGGAGTCGCATGGGCGAGCGGGGGCCGGGTGGGCCGCCACGACTTTTTTCGACAGCGCGCGCCTGTCTGAGGTTTGTCTTACCGGCCTGGACGTTGCCGACCAGGTCTGTAAGGTTCTTGGATGTCCTGACCAGATGCTATGCGTTGGGATGTTCCCCCTTATACTAGCAGTCCTAGGGATTCTCGTACCCCCCTATTATATTCATAATCTCTGTTAAGGACTGTTCCCCCTATTATATTCAAAATCCCTATTAAGGACTGTTAGTATCAGGGGTAACATCCCAAGCTCTGCGTTTCTACCCTGAATCTCTGTGCTGGACCTGGCCATGCTTCACCAGCATTTGGGCAGAGCTTGCTGGAATTGCCATGGGCTCCTTCTGAGTAGGCGCACTAGGTGGCTTCCTGCCCTACCGGCATTAGTATGACTTTATGTTTGCCGTTCTTTCTCCTTGATGGTGCAAAGGTAAGATCTTGAACGATGGACATGAGGAGCTGGAGGCGGAACCGATTTCTTGTCCACGTACGCGGCATTGTCCTTCTGTAATAGTCTCGTTGGCCAGCCTCGCACAGCCTAGGGGGGGCCCAGCAGTCTAGAACTGTAGGGCAGGCGCAGTGCAGCGTATTCGATGCCTGTGTGCCATGTGAAATTGAGATCCCGCGCGGGTTGTTCAGGCGAAGACGTTGATGTCGACTGCTCCGACGTCTCCTAATGCCCTTTAGATACTTCGGAGCACTACGCAGTCCCAAAAGGTCATCTCAGCTTCTCCGAACCTCAGCACAACAAACCCACACAGAATGAAGGAGGTCAGCCCTAGCAAGCCCAGTTGTGACTAACTCAGACAGTACATAGAGGGGGTTGTGTGCGGCAGGTGATGTGACAATGCATGCTCATGTTTCGGTGAGCCAGTTTAGAAGGGCGACTTTTGGAACAGAATGACTTGTGCGTTACGATCTTGCCGTGCGAAGCCGTCAGGTGGTCCCATCACCAGACGGGCTCGTTCGCGTCAATGGCGTCCAAGTGGTCCTGCGCCCCAGCTCTGGGATTTCTGCGCTTGCAGTGCTACCAGTGCTTGCATACATCTGCATACTAAACAGGCAGAGCAGGGGTTGCCTCTTGAGAGCGGTGATCGCCTTGCCATTGGCCTGCCACCCGGACATGTCATCTTAGCGCGCGCATGCACTAGGGTTTAGGGTTTAGTTCAGGGCTTAGGGCTTAGGGCTTAGGGCTTCTTAGGGCTTAGGACGTAGGGCTTAGGTCTTAGGGTTTAGGGTTTAGGGTTTCGGGTTTGCACAAAAAGCATGCGCATGCATGTGCAGCTGCGAACCCACATACGTGCTGCTGTACCACCCCGTCTTGTAAGCCTTGACATGTGAAGACATTCGTGGCTAAAGATATGTGGGGTTGATCCAAATTATGGGCGCCGTTTGCTACATGGTTGCTTTTGTATCCCTGGAAGCGAAATCTTGAATCGAAGATAGCCCTGTAACAGTCTTGGTTGGGACCATCTACTGACGTACATCAAGCTGGAGAGGAGGCAGTTTCTAGAGCCCCAGATAGACGGTCTCCTGCAAGGCCGTGCTCACATCTTCCGCGTGGTGATCCCTGCAAACAGCTCTGCAGAGTACGCCATGTTATCGTCCCATCTGCCCAAAGCCGTGCGCCGGCTCCGTGATGTTCTGCCATCAGGACAGCTGAAGAGGAAGACTTCGAGACGGCTGCCAGCTTGCAATCATCGTGCTTCGAACCCTCTTCACCCTCTTCCGCCTCCCTAAACCCTAAACCCTAAACCCTAAACCCTAAACCCTAAACCCTAGACCCTAAAACCTAAACCCTAAACCCTAAACCCTAAACCCTAAACCCTAAACCCTAAACCCTAAACCCTAAACCCTAAACCCTCCCATGTCGAGAATCAGATGTCGGACTGAGGCAATGAAGGAGCTACAGGCCAATAGCCAGGCCGGCTTCCCGTCTTGCAAAAAGTGACTGTCGCTTGTCGAGGGAGCATGAAGAACTAGGTCGGCCCTTGGGGACACTTTACGTTTTTCCCTCATTGGGTTTAAGAGGATTATGTTCAGGAAGATTTTTTGAAAAAGGCTTTGACATCTTCCTTTTAAGAGGATTATGTTCCGGATATTTTGTTTCAGAGGGCTTCAACGCCCCCTCATGGAGCAGGTCGACCCGCGATGGAGGCGCGGGGTGGACGATGCCGTCATGATCGTCAAGAGGGACTACGGCACAAGGGAGGCAAGGATGCTGCAGAGTGTTCCAGAGTCTACCTGTGTTACCTCTTAAAGTAACTTGTCTAATACTCGTCTTAATACTAAAAAGCAGTAACAGAACATAGGTATGACTATTATCCACTCATAAAACTAGCAGATATGATCATCCATCTTGAGGATCAAGGCAAGTGCTGTCCGGGCAGGCCAATCAGCTGCTGGATGCGGCGAAGAAGGCATCCGAAGCTTGGGGCCCCAGAGATGTGTACAGGACAAGCGCATGGTAGCATATCAAAAGAGCAAAGTAGCAAAATAGAAAGAAGTAAAATAGTAAAGTTTTAAGATATTATAAGAGCAAAATCGTATAGTTGTAAATAGTAAATAGCAAAATAGCCAAAAAAACAATTTCGTATTACACAAATATAGTTATAGTATTATAGAGTCATAGACCAATCTAGTAATGAAGTGATATAGCAATCTTGTAGTATAGTCGTATAGTAATACAGGACTATAGCAGTATAGTAATTTTTCGCTAGTGCATTGAATGTACAGCGTATGCAAGGTCGTTGGTGAAGCCAATGCCATTCTCAAGATGGTCCCGCAGGATGCTGCTTTGTATCTGAAATTGGAGAGATGGCAGGGCAGGGGTTGCAGACGTCAGACAGATCATGCAGAAAATGACCCCTCCCCTTGCGAGCCACTTGAGCAGCTTGGATTTGATCCCTCGGTTCTTCCGGCAGCCTGGGTGCATAATCCCTCAGTTCTTCCGGTAGAATGGGGATCATGGAACAGTCAACAGTCCAAGCGCTCTCGTCAGAATATGGCGCAGAGCTTGTGATGTGACGCGGTTTTTCCTGCATGAGCTTCGTTGTGGTCAGCGCGGAGCTGCAAGTCGCGAAGGACTGGCGAAATGGCGTGTCGCACTACGAGCTTGCCGTGCTTTTTCAGGACGATTAGCAGACGAACCGCTCTCCCAGTGCTTAGAGAATACGAGTTTTTCTTGCAGGCCGACGGCTTTCCTGACATTTGCGTCGTGGCGAGATGCGAGGCGCAAGTGAATCGACTTTGCCATAAGATACATATATATATATATATGTATATGTGTGTGTGACAGGTCTAGAACTTAATTAGAAGACTCTGCATGCAGGAGGAGCAATCTTCTGCTCATGTCCCGGAGCCAGGCCGTGGTGCATGTATGTGACAGTATCAAGTATGCAGGTATTCGGTGCGCAGTCGGTATCGTGACGGTACTAAGGCACCTGGCAGGAGAGAGGCTTCTCCGCAGGTATCTGGGAGGCCAGACACCGAGCTTCCAGAGACCAGAAGAAGCCGCGAACAGCAAAGCACATCAACTTCAGATGGGGGCGGATCCAGAGAGCCTGTTGCTAAAGGCTGGCCGCTTTGAGGTGGACCGTTTGCCATTCATGCGCGAGGCTCGCAAAGCCCTTGTGACGTGCAACGCAAGCGGAGTACAAGAGCATAAGAGTGTAAGAGTACAAGAGTATAAGAGTATGAGAGTACAAGAGTACAAGAGTAGAAGAGTATAAGAGTATAAGAGTATAACAGTATCATGGTATAATGGTAGACTAGAATAGTCGTAATAGTATAATGGTATAATGGTATGGTCATATATTAGTATGGCCTAACCCTAAACCCTAAACCCGAAACCCTAAACCTAAACCCTAAACCCTAAACCCTAAACCCTAAACCCGAAACCCTAAACCCTAAACCCTAAACCCTAAACCCTAAACCCTAAACCCTAAACCCTAAACCCTAAACCAGGCTGCCGAGCTGCTCAAGCGAAGACCAACTCGCTGCCCTGCTGGCCCTGAGAGCTTCCTGGACTCCGTGGACACAGGGAAGGACAGGCTACGCCTACCTCAGAATTGAAAAAAGGGTTTAGGGTTTAGGGTTTAGGGTTTAGGGTTTAGGGTTTAGGGGTTTAGGGGTTTAGGGGTTTAGGGGTTTAGGGGTTTCGGGTTTAGGGTTTAAGGTTTAGAGTGTTGGGTTGCTAGCAGCAGCAGCCCCAGCCCCATATCATGGCTGGCCATATCTGTGCAGGACCAGCCCAGCGATCTGGACTGGGAGTTGCATGCTTTCGCGGAAGTTGACCTGTACACATTCCAAGAGCTCTCCAACAACTGCAAGGCCAGCTGCTAAGTGTCATGCGGGCTTTGCTTTGTCTCGCCCGCATTTTGGGGGACCTCTGGGAAGCTCCAAACGAGTCTCAAACGGCTCGTGCTTTGCTTGTCCGAGCCAGAGCCAAGTACAGAGCCACACTCAGACGCGCGCAGTGTAGTTGCCTTGACCGCTGCTGCGCATGAGCCTCTTGCACCGCACAGAAACCCTAAACCGAAGCTCTACAGGAGCTGCAGCTGTCCCGGAAGAAGAAAGAGGAGGAGGAGCGGAAGCAGGACCCGAGCAGCTTTCAGCCTTCGTGTGGCTTCAGTTCGCTGTAGCCTGCATCTTTGCCTCTAAGCAATCCTAAAGCCGCCTGAATCCTAAGCCTTACTGTAGACCCAAACCAAAATCCCGACCTTGAACTTTTAGGAACTCCTGAGCTCAACCCGAAACCCTCAAAACTGCTCCAGGACGCAGGGCCGGGCATCCTCGATTATCTCTTCGGAGCCCGGAAGCGCGTGCCAGACGACAGCAAAGAGGCTTCGGGAGCGGGAAGGCATGTAATTAGAGGGGCTTTTAGTGGGTAATTAAACGGCTTGTTTGAGTGTGTCAAGCGTGCTCAGAGGGTTTTTGGAGTTGAGGTGTTGGGGAACTGCCAGGCACTGGTGGAGGGGGTTGGGGTGAACTGGGGAATCCATGGGGATCCGAGCTCCAGTGCGCTGTCATGCGCAGTTGGTCCACACGGCGCCAGCTCGACTCTTCGACTGGCTCCTTGGAAGCAATTTTTCGGGTTGTCAGCATTTGGGGGATGTGTGACTAGTCTTGTGGCTGTCGGATCTCTGGACACATGGCATTGCTGCAGCCAGAAGCCTGCAGAACTCCCTGTCAAGATTCAAGTTGGCCTGTTTCTTCATTCCAGAAGCCCTTACACACATCAGACTGCGAATGGAGCAACTTGTCCGCCACTTCGAGTTCTTGCTCTCATCAGTTCTTGTCGGCCAAGCAAGGTTGACTGGACAGCTGCGTCCGGAGAAGGACCCGGACGTCCGGTGCTCGTTGTTTGTCTTTGCTGGCCTTGTCAAAAGTGCATCACTCAGGCTGGAGCAACAGCTGCTGCAGAAAAGCTCAAGGCCAATGTCAAGAAGGCCAGAGAAGTGTGTGAGTGTGCTCACTGGGAATGGTCAGCAGCGCGTTTGCAGGTCCGCGAAAAGCGTGAGGCCAGCGAGCCGCTAAAGTGCCGCAGGCAGACGATGCCAGTTGTCCCATGCTTGCATTGCACTACGTCGTCATGCGCTTCTACGTAGGGAGCAAAGGGGTCTCCAGACTGTCAGAGTCTTGGCATGTTGCGGTCAGAGTTGTTCTTCGGCCAAAGGGATGCAGGGTTCATGAGCAATCTGCGAATTAGGGAGGGAGGTTCGAAGAGGTTCAACGTTGCGGTTGCTGCCTCACGCGCGCATGAACACCTCACATCTGACTCCTTGCGTCTCTCTTTGGCTCCGTATCCCATGGAGGGCAGCGATGTGGTACCTGTAGGGGGCGCTTCGTCTAATAACGGGAAGCTTGAGCTGGGAGCTTAAGCGGTGGTTTTCAATCTCTTTTGGGTTGACCAAGAAATGACCGGCTAGACGACGTACACACTATCTGTATACATATATACACACATTTTTCAAGTATGTATATGTATATATATGTATATATATATATATATTATAGATATTATGTATATATATATATATACACATATGTATATGTTTATACCTATCTATCTATCTATCTATCTATCTATATACATATATATGTATGTATATGTATATATATATATATATATATGCATTTATATACATACACACATATGTATGTGTTTATATCTATCTCTCTCTCTATATATATATAGATATAAGGGGAGAATTCCTGTATCTCTGCTCTTTGCCAGGGCTTCGATGGCACCTCGGGGGACTCTGGTCCCAGAAGCAGGTGGGTGTTTGTGCTACCGTAAAGTCGTTTGCAGCTGTTCTCGGGAGGGTTTAGGGTTTAGTGTTTAGGGCTTAGGCTTGGCTGTAGTTTGCGGAGGCGGAGGCTACTTGGAGGTGCCGAAGTCCATGACGAAACGGTCGTCCTCGTCGTCGACTTCGTCGAATCGCCGCGCCACGGCGGCGAAAGATGCGTCTCCCAAAGGTGAGGTCTGGCCCGCAGCGGAGGACGGTGGTCCGTGGCTCGACATGTGCAGTTCCTGTCTCTGCCTCCCCTTTGCGTATTACGAGGACCTCCTGGAGAAGTTCAGTTCGCCCAAGGACGACATTCGTGTGGATGTGGCTCGACTGGAGGCGGCACCCAACTTCAAGCTTCAAGCACGGAGCTCTCCAGCCGTTTCAGAGCCATGTAGAGCCGCCTTTTTTCGCCAGGCGCCAATCCGACGAGCCAGCAAGTCTGGGATCGAAGTGGTGCAGCGGGAGCCTTCGCCGGGGCGGAGCCCCGCGAGCCCGAGCGGGCCCAGCACCCCGCAGGAAGATGACCGCCTCACTGTCTGGGCCCCCCAGTATTTCCGAGTGTCGCGCGAGTTGCTAATGGCAGCTTTGAAGGGCCCTTTGAGCCATTTTGAATAAGGTGGAAATCCTCGTGAAGGAGCTCTTCAACGAGGACAAGCTGGGTGTTCGCCTGCGCATGGAAGGGCTGGTGGTCAGCAACTTCGACGTGCCCGAGGCCTGAAAACGACTGAGAAGCTGGACATGGCCTAGCTTAGCTAGCTGCTACCCTCCCAATCGATCAAACATCGGACGCATACAGCGCTTTGTCCCCGAAGTTGCGTTCTGCTGAGCTCACATTTGGACTTTGTCAGGCAGCAGATGTGGGATGGCATTTTGGTGATGAGATCGTGGCCGTGAACGGCCGCAGTGTCAGCACCCGGGAGGACGGGTCAGAGTTGCCGAGGCTGCGAGTCCCCAACGAGTGCATGCCGAAAGCCTGAAAGCAGGCTTGCCGGTGACTTACTTGCCACGCCTTTCGCCCAGGAGTTTCGCACGGTGCTGGCCAATGCACGGAAGCAACTGCCCATCGTGTTCACCGTGCCGCTTGGTCGGCATGACTGTAGATCACGCAGCATATGGTAGCATTTACTGTCCAAGAGCAGCAGCCGGAACAGCACTATGGGCTTGTTCTACAGTCTATATCAAATTATCGTTCCCTTGTAGGCAATTGTAACCTTGCAGAGTCCCTTGTGCAACGGCTGCACCGACAGGGATCCTAATTGTAAGTAAGTGCCGCACGTTGCCCCGACCTGGCCAGAAAATCTAGGGGTCCCCAGTGGAGTGCAAGGTTTGTCAAATCGTTTTCGAGGTAGAAAGTGGTTCCGCGGGGGGGGGGGGGGGGGGCATCCTGGGAATTCCTAAAGGACGAAAAACAACTCTCGTACCTTGCTAGGTCAGGAAGATTCCCTGCACCTTTTTTTGGGCACACGGCCGGGCTAGATGGATTGTGCACCCCCCCTTTGCCCCAAACCGAGAGGCCTAAGCCTAAACCCTAAACTAAACCCTAAACCCTAAACCCTCAACCCTAAGCCACACCCTCAACCCTAAACCCTAAACCATAAACCCTAAACCTCTCCTTCACATATATATTTTAACCTTAACTTAATAGTCTTAACGGGCATTGCCATGCCCGCTTGGTTTTTACCATGCCCACTTGTTTTTTATTTACCATGCCCGCTTGGTTTTTACCAAAACGCCCTTGGCATGGTAAATGGTAAGTTTTCCATGGGCATGGCAAAGTTTGCCGTGGGCATTGGGGAGGTGCCACGGGAGACTTTACCATGCCCACGTCAAAATATACCGTGCCCACGGACAACTTTACAGTGCCCACAGAAAACTTTACCAAAATGCCCTTCGGTAAGCTTTTCCGTGGGCATGGAAAAGTCGTACGTGGGCATGGCAAAGTTTGCCGTGGTCAGAGATTTCCCAATATGTCCCGGGCGCGGCCCGGGACAGGTTGTCCCAGGGGACGGGTTGTCCCGGGGCCCCCCCCCCCCCCCGGACACTGTCCCGGGGCCTCCCGAGACGCAAGAATTTGGGAAAAATCGGGCGGTTCAAAAACAAATGCGTTCTTGTGATTCGATGAACTTGAAAACTAAAGTGTTTCCCCAATATTATGGGATCCAAAGGGTGGGTAGATATTCGAAGCCAGAGTAGCGAGCTAAACTAGTGAATTCTTGAACTTGAAATGCTAAACCCTAAACCCTAAACCCTAAACCCTACAAAGGAAGCGGCAGCGCCCCAGCCTGGGGAGAGCTCGGAGGACGGTGGCCGGGGCGCGTCCGCACTCGGAGGCAACAAGCCTGGGACCACGAGATCGGATGGCGCATCTCGGCAAATCGGTTTAGGGTATTTCAGGGTTTAGGGTTTAGGGTTTAGGGTTTAGGGTTTAGGGTTTAGGGTTTAGGGTTTAGGGTTTAGGGTTTAGGGTTTAGGGTTTAGGGTTTAGGGTTTAGGGTTTAGGGTCTAGGGTTTAGGGTTTAGGGTTTAGGGTTTAGGGTTTAGGGTGTAGGGTTTAGGGTTTAGGGTTTAGGGTTTAGGGTTATGACATTTGAGGGTATTTGGAGGTTTTTAAGGTTTTTCAGGGTTTTTTTTCAAGGGAAATGTCGGGCATTTTGGGATCTGGCAGGGTCCCTCCTCCGAATGAATGATCATGCGGCCCTGCCTCCAAAGCCTGCAAGGAAACGAAAAGCTCGTGCAAGCACGAGCGTGCCCTACCGGGTAAAGGACACGGAGTAAGGCACAGTATTGCACATAGGGCCCCTCAAAAGGAGGATGGACCAAACCGCTTGGCCTGGGGCGCAGAAGTGTGCTAGGCCATTTTCCTCGGTGCGGTCCCTGCAAATGTAATCTGCTTCACTCGTTGAAACATGATCAAGAAATCCCTGAAGCTGACGGGCATGCCCCAAGCCGTAAACCCTAAACCTATATAAGCCCTAAACCCTAAACCCTAAACCCTGAACCCTAAACCCTAAATCCTAAACCCTAAAACCTAAACCCTAAACCCTAAACCCTAAACCTTAAACCCTCATGTCATCTCAGGGGCATGTTTCTCGCGTGAGGGCAGCGTGACTTCGGTCCCGGCAGTTTACCATCTGGGCTGCCCTGATAATGCTCCAGTCTCACCCGAGTAAAACGGGCGTGTGGCATGATTGTCATGGCCTGTTGTTGATGCTCCCTTTGCGCATGTCTGGTATTGGGATTGCTTCTGCGTGCGTTGCCTTCTTGGCAGCTTTGATCAGCAACAATCCAGGCAGCAGAACATGCCTCACTGAGAACAACACACTCTCTATACACACATATATACATATGGTATACATAGAATCTGATGAGATTGTTTCGGGCTGGATAGAAGTGGTGTGCCATGGCGATAGCATCGAGCATGGACATGAGCGCAGGATTCTCAATTTCCCCGGTGCATCCACGGCATATCACGGAACATCGCTTATGAAGCCTGAGTTGTGCATGAATCCCTAAACCCTAAACCCTAAACCTTAAACCCTAAACCCTAAACCCTAAACCCTAAACCCTAAGCCCTAAACCCTAAACCCTAAACCCTAAACCCTAAACCCTAAACCCTAAGCCACTGGAGGCTCCATCCTTGCTGGGTGTACGCCTGGAGACCGACTTTGATGCGTTCTTCATGCGGGAAGATGCAACAGCACAGCTCCAGACCTGGCGCGAGGCTCGTTTGAGTTTTTTAGCAGTCCTCAGATCCTTGTTGCAATATGTTGCAATCGTCACCGAGCAGGGGCCGATATCTGTAGAATGTTGCAGCTGCGAAAGCAAAAAGCTGCAAGCTTCTGGTGCTTCCATGGTGCGGGAACCTCGTAGCAGGAGATCGCAGCGACTGCCGGCGGCCTAACCTGTCGGCTGCTAGGTGTCACACCGACAATGCAGAGCCATGGCCATGAAAGGTTCTCGGGGTGCCTGCTTCAGAGCTTCATCCTGGCAGAATCAGGCGTTGACAGCGCGCGTTTCTGTACCAGATTGCGCGTGGGGTTGAAATCGCGTGCGTGCAGGCGAGGCTCGCTGGACTTGGAGTTTGTTGTTGAGGCACCGCAGAATGCCGGGCCTGCAAGATAGATAACCAATTCTATATCTAGACGAACGGAGGCCTTTTTTGAAAGTAAAACTGTGTTTGTATATGCGTATATATACGTATGTATACTAGGTTACACATCACACTAAGTCGGTTCTTAATGTTTTCCAGCGCGGTTGATAGGAATATACAAGTGAAAAACACAAGAGAGGAGGTGCGGATCTCGAGATTGTGGTTCCCAGTCCCAGTTATACACGTTTATATGTAAAATAAAAAAGTCTTGATATGTATGTATATGCGAGCATGATATAGTGGATAATACATATATGCAATACATGCATGCAGGCATATGCATGCACACACACATAAATATAAATATGCACATGTGCATATACACACATATATGTGTGTATATGTGCAATCATGTCCATTCATCTATCTATCTGTCTTTATATGCAGCATGTCTTTATATGTATTTATCTATATATATATATATATATATATCTATATATCTGTATATATCTATATCTATATCTATATCTATATCTATATCTATATCTATATCTACATATATATATATACATACTTATATATATATATATATATATATATGCGTGTCTGTATTTACATATGCATATTATGCACAGCCTTGCTTGAGCAGGGCATCAGCGCGCAAGAGCTCCAGCAGCGGCTGGACCGCGAGGCGAGCGCTTTGTGCTTTTTTGCTTTCGGGGACTAAGATGGGTTCAGGGTTTAGGGTTTAGGGTTTAGGGTTTAGGGCCCGAATTTTAAACCCCTCCTACCCCCTTAATGTTTAGAGGCTTATTAGAAACTCCCCATTAGAGTGCTGTTTATAGTATATGAGGAGCATTGACGATTAGAAGTATTGGGGGGGTGGATGACTTGGTGCGCAGGGCAGCAGGGCACCTGGTCGTCTACACGTCGTAGGGGGCCAAAAGCATCGCTACCAGTGTGGTTTTCGACCACCCCAGACAAGACTGTTTTCAAGGATCCCAACAACTACTTTGAACGTGTATTCGAAACTGTTCTTTCGTACCGTTTGAGATCCGTGTTTGCTTCCTGCTCGCATTTCAGGCGAAGGTCTTCTCAGGTGCTTTCAGAAGTTAAGATGGTCCTGTGTTTTTGAGAACTTCGTCTACACACCCACTGGTAGCAGCGATTTTTTCAGCTTAGCATGCACGGTGCTTTGCCCTTAAAATTTCTTCTTTCGATTCATCTGCCCGGGCAAAACGCCTTTGGACTCTGCCACTCACGTTCTTCCCACTTTACTTGTTTTGAAGATACAACGCAGGAGAAGGCTCCAACTCACAAATTTCGGCCTGGTTGATTTTGTGAATGACATCCAAAACCAAAATCGCAAACATGAAAGAACACGCATGTGGGTGAATTGGGTGTCGCTGCTATGTGTGTGTGTGTGCGCTATGTTCTGCATTCGTATCTACAGTGTGTCACGTGATTGGGTGCATCGTGAGTGTCTTTGGTCTGTGGGTCTGTATCATATGTATCAAGGGGGTAACGGACTTGCAAGTCGCAAGTCGCAAGCGACCGGACGTAACCTAGCCCCTCACGCCCCCCCACCCGCGTCCCCAGCAAGATTTGGGGAAATCCTGTTTAGGGTTTGAGCGGCAAGGTGCAGTCGATGCTCTCAAGCCACTTTAGGGTTTCCTCAGGACAGAGAAGTTCTTTGGATGAGCATCTTCTAGAGAATCGTTCAGCTGTGACAGAGAAATTGAAGAAATTGAAGAAAGGGGAACAAAAGCATCTCTTCACAATTCCGCCCGAATGCAGAGTGCATACATGAGGCATCAAGTCAGGATCAATGAGCCATAGTGCGAGCTCTGTAAAACATATGGGTACGATAAAGTGTGATTTGTTTCGCAAAGAAGCAAATCCGCCCTAAGCCCCAAAACCGGCTTTGGCATGCCAGGGCAGAGTCGCTTGTGAATGCCAGCATTGATATTTTGAAAGGACAGCGTCCCCAGCAATTTGTTAGGAGGTCGAGGAACAACTTCCATACGTAGTAGGCGAATTGTTTTTCCCGGGGGGGAGGGGGGGGGGGTTCGAATTTGGGGTTTTTTTGGGGGCTTTTATACCCTAAACCCTAAACCCTAAACCCTAAACCCCAAACCCTAAACCCGAAACCCTAAACCCTAAACCCTAAACCCTAAACCCTAAACCCTTATAAGGTTTCGGGGGTGCCCTCTCGGGGGGTTCCCACACTGGCCCTTAGAGGCGGATCGTCTCCGGGCACTTTTCCAGGAGCCTGTCCTGGAGGCCCAGCTTTGACCTTCCTGTCAGGGTTTTGGGGTTTGGGATTAGGATTTAGGGTTTAAGGTTTAGGGTTAGGGTTTAGGGTTTAGGGTTTAGGGAATCTCGGTGTGCCCAAAGGTCCGCGTGAATGGACCTGGAGCTGAGCCAGGAGGAAGGGGAAGGGGGTTTGGCATCTCTGTTTTTTTTTTTTTTTTTTTTTTTTGGGGGGGGGGGTTAGGTTTAGGGTTTGGGGTTTGGGGTTTAGGGTTTAGGGTTTAGGGTTTAGGGTTTAGGGTTTAGGGTTTAGGTTTAGGGTTTAGGGTTTAGGGTTTGGGTTTAGGGTTTAGGGTTTAGGGTTTAGGGTTTAGGGTTTAGGGTTTAGGGTTTAGGGTTTAGGGTTTAGGGTTTAGGGTTTAGGGTTCAGGCTTCAGGGTTTAGGGCCCCATTTAGGGCCTGAGAAGCCGATGCCCCCGCCACTTCTGGGGGCGTTGTTGAGGAGACATGCCTCAGAGCGCCAGGGTCTGAGATGCAATCGCAGATTTTCGTGCTCGCGCGATGTACTACTTGGAGGCTCATGGTACTTATTAACCAATTATAACTGTACTTATAATATTATAGCTGCACTTAAAAATCGTATTAGGGCACTTAAGGGGCTTATAAGTGGGTTATAAGTACAGTTCGAATTGGTTAGTAAGTACCATGAACCTCCAAGTACGCACTTGCAGAGTGGACTGACAGCCGAGGCCGGGCCCGGGCCCCACGGTGGGCCGGGCGGAGGGCCTGCACCCGGTGCGGGTCCATCGATACAGCCGCCAGGCCTACTTCTCCCAGGGGGCCCGCCACTCGGCGACGCGAGCGCAAGCATCAAATCCTCTTGCAAGCCTGGGGTGTATCACGATGGACGCGCCGCTCCAAGATCTCCAGTCAACGCTGCACAGAGTGGCGGAGACATGCTAGGGACAACAGCTGTGAGCTCGACAAGCAACTTACTTCTGACAAGATTAGCTTGAACTGTTTCTTTCCTAGTGGTCCTCCATGGCGGATCCGGCAAAGATGGAGGATGCAGAAACTTTCCTGGAGAAGGAGGCCCAGAAAGTCATGGAGATCCACGGGATTGGTGTAAGCAAATCGCCAGTTCTGCCTGCCGCTGCCGAGCTGTACCAAGCTTTCTGCGCGCGCCAGGAAACGACAAGTCTGGGGTTGGGTGTTGAGAACCATTTCTATGCTGGCTATCAGCATTCCCAACTCGACTGGTCCAGGCCAGTTCATGGAATTCTGGTGGACTTCAAGGGGGACAGCATGCAGCTTGGGATGCTCCTTGCACGCCTCGAATCATGCCAAGAGCAGTATGTTTTCATCGGGGCGCCCCCGCCCTTCAATGGTGGATGGCATTTCACTGCACTCAATGACTTCGAGCACATCCATGAGCAGAAAGGACTTGACCCAAGCTGGGAAGGTTTTCGCATATGGCATCGAGTGAACTATGTGCCTTCATCCACTGAAGGAGGGCTTCCGGCGTTGGTTGCAAGGGAAGAGTTTGATCCCAAAAACAAGCATGCCGGCGCAGTTCCCATAGGGGACACATTCAAGCTCAGCACAATCATTTTAACAGGTGGCCTGATGCCACACACGTTGAATGCAACCATCATGGCTGACGGCGGTGACGCCGCAGAAGTCCTCAAGAAGCATTTTGAGCTTGGCACCCGCTTTGCCACCATCGGCCACGGCTTGGACGTGTTGTTGGCGCTTGGCGGAGCGGACAAGTCGTTGTTCTCGGGATTTCAGGCAGCTGTGTTTCCAAAGCAGGACCATCTGCTGTCGATCAACGGCCTACAACCTCCAGGCGACGGGGCGAAAGTCTGCAGCTCCACCTCCCAGGGAGTGGAGCTGGTGTCGGCCAGCTATTGGGGCAAAGACACGGCGGAGGCCTTCTTTACCGCCTTGGGCTTGGCTTCAACCAGGATGGACACCAGCTTCGCTGCGTCTCGCAGAGTGCAGAGGTTGGGTAGCTGTGAGACGGCCTTCTGCTTCGATGCAAAGAAGCTGGAGGGCATGTCCGGGCAACTTGGTGTCACGCATTTGGCCAATATTTGCATGCATCTTCACTTACGATAAGCCTTTTTTCTGGCTCCCTGTGCCCTGTAGCTTCAACAATATGCCCAAGCTCACAAGCTTTGCCGCGCTCCTGGAAAGCTTTCTGGCTTAGTCAGGGAGCGACGGGGAGAGGCTCATAGCCGTCTCCAGGGTCTCAAACTCTTGAACAACCCCCTGAAGACCCCGAACAAACCCCATAAATAGCCCCAACAAATCCTGAAAAGGCTTGCTTCCTTCTCCCAACAAAAGTGCAGTATGAACATTCTAGTTAATTGTGGGGCATAAGAGACCCACATCTGAATACTATGAATTCAAGCTTTTATTATTGTCATTATCATTATCATGATCATTCTCAGTATCATTTATATTCTTATTGTCATCACCATTATTCTTACTATTATGATTGTTACTACTGCTATTTTTCTAATGTAACAATGTAGGCATTGACTCAGGAGCTGCATCAGTGGCGATCCGGCAGCTCCCAGGGTGGCCTTCTTCGTGGACGAGGTGGCCGATCCCATCGAGGCCTACACCATCATCGACCACCTGGTGAGCCTGAAGCTCCTTAGTAGTAGTAGTAGTAGTAGTAGTAGTAGTAGTAGTAGTAGTAGTAGTAGTAGTAGTAGTAGTAGTAGTAGTAGTAGTAGTAGTAGTAGTAGTAGTAGTAGTAGTAGTAGTAGTAGTAGTAGTAGTAGTAGTAGTAGTAGTAGTAGTAGTAGTAGTAGTAGTAGTAGTAGTAGTAGTAGTAGTAGTAGTAGTAGTAGTAGTAGTAGTAGTAGTAGTAGTAGTAGTAGTAGTAGTAGTAGTAGTAGTAGTAGTAGTAGTAGTAGTAGTAGTAGTAGTAGTAGTAGTAGTAGTAGTAGAGCCTTTATAAGTAGAGTACCTGGTGAACCTGAAGCTCCTTCTAGTAGTAGAGTAGATAACCTTTTAGAAGTAGAGTAGAGAAGCTTTATGACTTTTTTCTGGGGGGGGGGGGGGGGGGATGGTCATTCCTACATGATCCCCAAGTTTAGTTTGCTCCTTTGAGTAGGACCTTCCCCCTTATACTAACAGTCCTGAATAGGGATTTCTAGTACCCCCCCCCCCCCTCCCATTATAATCCTAGTAAGGACTGTTAGTATAAGGGGGAACATTCCAAGTAGTAGAGTAGATAACCTTCATAACCTTCTTTGGGGGCATGAACAATTCCTATATAATCCCCAAGGTTAGCCTTGAGTTTTCTCTAGGCTGCTGGACAACTCAGGTTCAGTGTTCATCTGATCAGCCGGAGTGCAAGTGACCCAGAGGTGAGGATCAGAGATGTGCGATCCGAAACTGTGTGGGGCAATGCGATGTATGCGTTGAAAGACTGCTGCTGCTTGCTGCCGACGACGCCGGCGAATCTCGTAGACAAGTCGCTTCAGTTTGATGGGTTCTTTGTGGCAGGTGGGCAGTGTCCATACTACATGATGCAGCTACATCCCCCTTGGGAATTATTTTGTTGAATTTTTGTTTATATACAAAACCCAAGAGGATATTAAGAATACTACATTTATTAAGGTTCTAAAAATACTACTTTTATTAAGGTCCGAAGGGGAGTCTAGGCAGGATCCTGCAGTGACGGCGATTATGGATGCGGCGCCGTACGCTGCGGCGGTCTGCCACGGGCCTGAAGCGCTAATTGGGTCAAAGTGGCTTCATCCAGGTGATGGTAAGGTCGGCCCGTTCATTTCGTACTACGGGGCATGGATGAGCTTTCGCGATATTCCAGGCTACGAGCGTAAGAAGCCAGGTGAGATCTGCGAAGACGCCTCCGGGCGGCTCTTCACCGGAAACGCTCCGAACTCCACGAAGGCCATGGTCGTGAGGGCTTGCGAAGCCATCTCTGCGTCCAAGAAGTGACGCGTAGCTCCACGACGAGAGCACAGCTTGGGTCAAAAGATCGGGAGGTGCGATAGAGAGAGTCAGGGGTTGAATGTGCCCTTGCTGCAGTCTTGAACCTTGCATGGGCATCTTATGATGACTGGCTGAACTTGCAGGAGCCAGCCTTGCCCATGGCCAGTAGAGCTCCCCCCCCCCCCCCCCCCCCCCCGCATGTTGAGGTCCGGCATCTCGTCGGCCCCCAATACCATCGCCCCGGCAGCAGCTGGAGGTGAACGTGACAGGGTCGGTTGTTTTCTTCAAGTTGCGACCCCTATTGTTGATAGCCTTTGAGGCCCTACGCGTAAGGTGCTGCATAATGGCATGCAGGGATGCAAAAGGGAGCCAGCCATCATGTCCAGGCCAGTGAGAAGTGTTCGTGTGTGCTGTGAACGCAGGAGCGGATCCGTGCCGCGGAAGCTGAATATGGTCCAGCTGCCCGGTTTGCGGTCGATTGCGCGAGAGCTTTGCAGACACCCGAGACCACTTAAGGATTCGACCTTCCCTTGCAAGACCGACTGGCGCTGGCGGAGCAAGGACGCGCCCCCTGAGCCGAAGTCACCGGGACCTTAAACCCCGCAGCTCGCATGTCCCAGGCCCGGGAGTCCCTCAAATTTCGGGCCCGGTGCGCCTGCCCGACCGGCACCTTGCCTCACTTCTGTCTTGCCTCAGGTGCAGGTAGCCTTGGGGTTCTTCAACATTCGAGCGCCTTCTGGGTTGTTTCTCAGCAGGGAGCCGATGCGGAAACTCCAGGTATCAGGCTGACCTAACTTGAAGCAACCAAGGCTTCTGTGCGCAAGTAACAGCGTCTGGAGCCGGACGCAGTCTTTCAACAGTTCAAGCGCTTCGATTTCTTTGCGCATCTTCAGACCGCAGCTGCTAGCAAAGAGAAGCTCCAGAAAGCCGAACTCTGAAACAGGGTTTAGGGTTTAGGGTTTAGGGTTTGCACACATCCTAGAATGTTCCACATGGCGTGGCTCGCGGTTCACTGTTCATTTGATGCGAGGTTACCAGACACCAGTCCTCCAAACCTTCGCAGTGCCCGCCGGGATCTCCATCGTCGAGGGCTCGGGTCCAGTCTCCCACAGGAGCTGCACTGCGGTTGGCAAAGTAGAAGGCTCTAAACCCTAAACCCTAAACCCTAAACCCTAAACCCAAAACCCTGTTTGGATAGATTGTTTCTTCCAGGTCTCAACCATCCGACGCCAACCGAAGGCGGGGCGCACCTCCTGCGGTCTTCAGCATCGATGCTGCAGTGCTCATGATCCCATGCTCACAGGCCCGCGGTTCTTGATGAGAGATTCCTACTGGGAGCAACGAAGCAGCCCGAGCTTACACGCTACTTGGGCCTCGAGCTCTTCCCGTCCTTGTGCCTTGCGCTTTGCTCAGGTCAGGGCGAGCGAATTCGGGAGCAACCCGAAGCCATGCATCGGCGGGGGCTTCTGAAAGAGGACCCGGAGGTCGCGGAAGAACTCGCCGGCCGCAATTGGCTGCGAGCATGGATATCTACACATATCTACAAATACAGATACATATGCATATATGTATATATATATATACATATATATGTAGAACAATATGTATATATATATATATACATATGCATATGTATATATATATATATATATATATATATATGTATATATTATATGTGTTCTCCTGTGTTTGCTACTCTGGTCTTCAACTCCATCATCTGGAGGTGCTGCCCTTCCGAGCCAAACCCATCCCGGTGGGGGTGCTGACTCCCCGCATGCAGGCCCGCTGCTCTCCGCTGTTCCGCTAAGCGTTTTTTTTTCTCCTTTTCGAAGCCCCAAAACCCTCAACCCTAAACTGGCCCTAAACCCTAAACCCCGAAAATCCCTAAACCCTAAATCCCTAGTCCCTAACCCATAAACCCTAAAGCCTAAACCCTAAACCCTAAACCCTAAACCCTAAACCCTAAACCCTAAACCCTAAACCCTAAACCCTAAACCCTAAACCCTAAACCCTAAACCCTAAACCCTAGCCTCCAAATCTGCCAGGCAAGGAGTCGCTCCGCGGAAGGCAGCTGCCGGGACTTTCTGGCCTTACTCGTGGGGGCATGTCAGGATGCTTAAGCGTACTGGATTCTTAGTAGGAGGGTTTGAGGTTTGGGGTTTAGGGTTTAGGGTTTAGAGTCTAGGGGTTAGCGTTTTGGGGTTCCCCTTTATGTACTTTAAGGGCTTCTGTGGGTTTCTTTTCCTGGCAGGTGTGGCCATGCGTGAGACAGACCGAGAGGATCAGCCCTTTCGCGCGCGCGACTCTGGCTTCGGTGGCTCCTCTTCTGGTTGTAGGGTTTAGGGTCTAGGGTTTAGGGTCTTGCTGGCTGCTTGAAAAGGGAACAAAGCCTCCAAAAGCACTTCAGATCCCTTAAGCCCTAAACCCTAAACCCTAACCCTAAACCCTAAACCCTAAACCCTGAACCCTGAACCCTGAACCCTGAACCCTGAACCCTGAACCCTGAACCCTGAACCCTGAACCCTGAACCCTGACCCTGAACCCTACCCTGAACCCTGAACCTTAAACCCTCAAGCCCTAAACCCTAAACCCACAACAAGAGGGGGGGGGGAGTCGGGAGATGTTGAGCTGCGCCGAGGCAAGGCCTGTTCCTTGGCGCGTCTCAACACCCATGTACGCGACATGGCTAGAAAGAAGCCCAGGAAGGTTTAGGGTTTAGGGTTTTAGGGTTTTAGGGTTTAGGGTTTAGGGTTCGTGGGGTGGTCTTTGGGGATTACGGGAGGGTTAGGGCATGTTAGGGCCTAGGGGGGTTTTTAGGGGTTTAGGGAGGGTCGGGGTTTAGGTGGTTTTGGGGTTTTCAGAGTTCGAAGGTCTTTCGATCCAAAAGACCGCCTCAGTTTTTAGAGCTTCTGTTTCTGAAGCTGAAGGTCTTCGGGCTTGCGGTCTCGCTCTGGGGTTTCGGGTTGTCTTCGGTGTTTGCGAGCAATGGGGAGAACCGTGGGATCAACAGCGGGCCCAAAATCAATGCACTCGGGACCCGTGCCTGCGAGATTAGTCTCTCAGTGACAATGTATGGTTGGCGGAGAATCACCTTGACACACTCACAATGGTCAGTTCTCTAGATTGTGGTTCCTTTTTGGTGTTCCTATTGAGATTGGGAGCCTTCCCCATAGCTACCCATAATGTAGAACAATCCCCACATGTGTGAAGAAGAAAGCTCCCTAAACACTAAACCCTAAACCCTAAACTCTGAACCCTAAACCCTAACCCTAAACCCTAAACCCTACACCCTAAACCCTAAACCCTAAACCCTAAACCCTAAACCCAAGGAGCAGCTCTTGCTCGAAGAGAGGGAGACGAGGCAAAGACGATGCCGTTCGTCGGCGGCTCATCTCCGTGCCACGAGTGTTCAAGCCTTCGTTCCTTCATTGTGCTGAGGAGGCTCGCAATCCCGTGCTTCAGCAGAAACAATATCCAAACCCTACAGCCTTAGCAGCCCCAAAGCCATCATAAACCCCCTAAACCCCAAACCCGAAATCCCAAACCCGAAGCCCTGAGCCCCAAACCCGAAACCCCAAAGCCCCAAACCCCAAACCCTAAACCGTTAGCCCTGATGCCAAAGCAAATGGGCCCGCCCCCCCCCACCCCCCCCCACCCCCCCCCCCCCCCAAACTCTAAACCCGAAACCCAAATCCCCCCCCCCCCCCCCCCCCCCCGCCCCGCCCCTTTCTGGAGGCGCAGCTTGGAGCTCCTGCGCTCGGCCTCCTTGCCGCAGGGGCACCCGGACATCCTCCACGCGCGGCGCGCCTCCGACGTCCGACTGCCTATACGTTTAGGGTTTAGGGTTTAGGGTTGAGGGTTGAGGGTTGAGGGTTTAGGGGGTTCATGGTGCTTAGGAACCAATTACAACTGTACTTCAAGCATGCTTATAAGCCCCTTAAGTGCCCTAATATGGTGAAGTACAGTTATAAGTAGAGTTTTCATTAGGCTAGTTGGTACCTTGAACCTCCAAGTAGGGACTTAGGATGTCATAGGGCTTCCAGGGCACCCAAAACCCAAACCCCCAAAATCCCAAGCCCAAAACCCAAGACTTGAAACCCAAAACCCTACAGCCAAAACTATCCTAAACCCTAAACCCTCAACCCTAAACTAGAAGCAGTTCTTTCTGAGTGTAGAGCTCCCCGGTGCCCCATCCCTCGTCGAGGCCTCGCCTGGAGGCTGCTCGTGCCGGGCCCAGGGCTCTACTTGGAGGTCCCTGAATCTTATTCCCCTATAGAGCCCCGATATCTTCCTTACGTAGTCCTTGTATACCTAAGTAGCCTAAATTACCCCCCAAACAACCCCTAAGGTCCCTTGTAAGGGTTCTTCGTTTCGTCCCTCGGACATGGGGCCTCGTCTGGGAGCCCTGCTATGGTCAGAAATGTCCGTGCACCTGAATGGCCGCAGCATGTACGACATAACCCTCAGCCCTAAGCTCCAGGTTCCCTAAGGATGGGATTCAGGGTTTAGGGTTTAGGGTTTAGGGTTTAGGGTTTAGGGTTCAGGGTTTAGGGTTTAGGGTTTAGGGTTTAGGGTTTAGGGTCTAGGGTTTAGGGTTTAGGGGTGGCTGCGGTTGCAGAAGCTTCCGGCCTCCTGTCTGTTTCTGCTGGCTGAGGGCGCCTGGAGCTGGAGCGCGGACAGGAGAGCGCAGCTGAAACTCCCTTGTACGAGCTCCAAACGTTCAAGTTGTTCAACATCATGAGTTGGGATGTTCCCCTATATACTAGCAGTCCTTAAAAGAGATTGTAATAGGGGTACTATAATCCCTATGAAGGACTGTCAGTACAAGGGGGAACGTCTCAAATCATTAGCATAACTTGGGGCTGACAATGCAGGAAGGACCCAAGGGTAGCATGCCATCAGGCTGGCTGAGCCCCAAAGTCCGTCTTCAAGAAACACATTCTACGAACCCAACCCTCAACCCTCGACCTTAAGAACCCTTTTTGCGCTGCTCAGCAAGCTTATGACCAGATGCAAGACATCACCAGCCATTGTGGCTCAGTGCTGTGTGCCCGGTCAAAGTTGCGATTCTTCCAGGGGCGAAGCTTGGGGTGCAGGCTTTGGGGTTTTTGAGGTTTAGGGTTTGAGGCCATTTGAAGGGTGTGCGGGTCCGGGGGCGATGGTGGGGAGCGACGAGGAAGAACGCGAGCTGAAGGGACTAGCGAGGTGCTCCTGCATACTCGGCAGGCTCGTCGGTTGGATTTTTGTCTTGCAAGGGGTGATCATCTATATTGATGGGCCCAACCCCCACGAGGATCGGGTTTGGATTCCCGAGATCTTCTTGCGAGCGTTCTTCGGCCCACTTTACCTGGGGCTCGAGGCACAGGCTCACAATGGCTACCTCGCAGCGAACTGGATGCGCCATGCGGGCGCCCGTGTTGGCGCCGTGTTGGTGGGCTGCTCCATTAACCGCATCTCCGTGGACGGGCGGATCTGGCACTGGTACGTTTGGCTCGGCTTGACCACCGCCATCCTCGCGGGGTTGGCGGGAGTGGTTGACCTTGTCTTCCTAGCGTGGCAGGTACGGCGGTGTCTTCCAAAGCTGAAGACCCAGCAGTAAGGGAAAACAACGGGGGAATATCCCCGGTATTCCGAAGAGAGCCGCCGTTTCCCTGAGCATAGCGCACCTAGATAGCCTAGAAAACCCTACGCCCGAAGGGCTGTTAACCATGAATGAAGCCTAAACCAACCGTAAACAAGCCCCTAAGCACCAAACCCCCTACAATCTCAAGTCCTGAGCCCTAGGATCCGTAGTAGCATAGTGTAGTAGTATAGTAGCAGAAGAATTGCAGATAATTGCAGTAGCAGTGACAGTGGCAGTCGGAGTTGGTAGGAGTCGGAGTGGGAGTAGGAGTGGGAGGAGGAGTGGGAGGAGAGGTAGGTAGAGGAGGTGGAGGTGGAGGTGGAGGTGGAGGTGGAGGTGGAGGTGGAGGTGGAGGTGGAGGTGGTGGTGGTGGTGGTGGTGGTGGTGGTGGTGGTAGTGGTAGTGGTAGTGGTACTGGTACTGGTAGTAGCATTGGTTCGGTGTTAGGGTTTGCAAGCGCGAGAATTATGCTCCCCGTCCTGATCCAACAACTCACAACTTCAAGAAGCCGACTTTCCTGGTTGCATGAGCCTGACCATGTCCACATAGATATTCTACGTGTACGCCGCAAACGCATTACACGCACAAAGATGCACATGCTGTGCAGCCCAATCGCTAAACCGATTAAGCCTAAAACCTAAACCCTAACCCTGAACCCTAAACCCTATAACCCTAAACCCTAAACCCCAAACCCTAAACCCCAAAAAGCCATTCGCAGGAGGGCAGCCGCTCACCCGGCCGAAGGCAGTGAGACTCTGAGCTTGGCAACCATGGGTGCTACTGTTCTCATTTTCACGCACGTAGAGTTGGTGTTTCAGTTGAAGTTCCGGTTTGGGATGAAGGAGATGGTCGGCATGAAGCCGGCCTAGACCCCAAACTCGCGCAGCTCAAGCTCGGGCAGTTGTGGTGATGGGGCTTTGGGATGTGTTTCGTGGCTTTTAGGGAGTTTAGGGGCTTCGGGTGCAGGGTTTAGGGTTTCAGGGTCAGCCTCTCCCAGCCTCTCCCAGCCAACAATTAGGCCGTGGCACGGTGAAGCGTACAGCGCTCGCCGCTGGCTGGCTTCTGAGGCCCAGCAGGCGCGTGGAGGGCTTGCGGGTTTAGGGTTTAGGGGTTGGAGTTTAGGGTTTGGGGTGAAGGGCTGACGGTTTCGGGCTCAGGAGCTTTAGGGCCTTCAGTGACTCATCGGCTCTGCATGTGCTAAGATGTACTCAGAAGCTCTTTGACGCAGCCGGGTGTTGCGATTGGCGTGTTCAAAGGGAGCAGCTCTCATCACAAGGAAACCTCTTCCAAGCACCAAACTTCCTGCTTGCACGTCTCGCCTCTGCAGAATGTGCCCACTCTCAGGAATCCCGAGACAGCGCTGGCAGAAAACTGGGCTTGGGTCCGGCCCGCACATCTCTCTTTTGCGAGCAGCTGAAGTCTCACAATTTCAAATGCTGTCCAGGTCCCGAGTATGGATACACGCCGCCCGCACCAGGAACATCTGCCGGTGCTTGCAACAATCCAAAATGTCTGATCTGCATACGGTCGAATTTGGTCTTGCATGCCATACAAGGTTTTCGCTAAAGCCTCTAAACTGCACACCCTTCATCTGCAAGCCCGGAACCGCCAAGTCCTTCAGACCGTAAGCCATCAACCAAAATGGTGCCCAGTCCAGGAGCAAACCGCCCTCGCAGCGCTTCAGCTCCACGGCGGCCCTCGCCGCGGGCCACGACGACTGAGGTGCAAAAGCACCTGCATGGGTGTGGGGGGGGGGGGGGGGGTGGTTGTTTGGCGCTCGGGTCCCTTTTGGTGTTGGTTGGTAATTCTCAGGGTGCACCACCCCCACCCTCGCCCCTGGTAGCATTCCCAGGTGCCAGATTTCGCAGCTCGCCATGAACACATGCAGCAACAGCTCTGAGCTCAGCTTTGCTGACGTTGCACTGCAGTGCTGCTGCCGACTGCCTTGCCACCAGCGGATTCGAGACGCGATGTTGGGGACATCGTGTTTCTGTTGCAGTGCCGGCTTCGTGCTGGTGAGGGAAGTGGTGCATCCTTCGGACGCAAGAGTTTGTTCAGTTTGGGGCAACTGCAAATTCCTGTGCACCGGACTCCGCCACGCTTTGCCACACATAGGTCTTTGTCTGCAAGTTGTGCTGGTGCTCGCTACTGGTGAATCGACGTTGCCGCTTCAGAAACATGCACGCTGGCGAGGCTCGAGCGGCGGAAGTATCTGAACCGCTACGTGACCCAGCCGGAGCCGTTCGTCTTCAACACCCCAGCACGCAGCCAGACTCGTCAGCCTCCAATGCCAAAGGACGGGCTCTTCTCTGCGATGATGGGTGCCTAAACCCTAAACCCTAAACCCTAAACCCTAAACCCTAAACCCTAAACCCTAAACCCTAAACCCTTCCATGTCTCATTGAACGGAGGATCCAACACAGGATTGGAGATACCGGAGAGCGGGCTATCGTCCGCCCTCGCAAGGCGGGGGCACATCATGTCACATCTATCTTCTGAAGAGGCAGAGACTCCAACACCCCCTTAATTGAGGAATATTACTTAAACCCTATAAGGAGCCCTCTTATATTTTAAGGAATCTTCCTTGATGAAGGGGTATTGGAGTCCCTGGGAAAGCCCTGTAAAGCCCTTGTAGCAGTCGAAGAAATTCCCTTCTTCCACACCAGGAGCGGCCGAAGGCCGTCGTCAGCGGGCCGTGCGTATCGCCGAGGCAGATGTCAAGCTGCGAAGCACACAGAAGGCCATCCCTTGCCCAGGATAGTTTAGGGTTTAGGATTTAGGGTTTAGGGTTTAGGGTTTAGGGTGGATCCTTTGCAGGTGGGTGGATCTGCAGCCCGTAGCAAGGGCAAGGGTCGGTTGTCACACACGGGCGTCGCAGAGTTGAATTGTTCCTTTGTAGGCGTTGGCATTCGTTCGCTCCTTCACATTGTCAGTTCTCTAGATGATGGTCCCTTCTTCCGGTATCCTAGATATGCAGGGGCACATTTTACAACAAGGACAGAGACAGGGATCATAATCCAGAGAACTGACCAGACGTGTGTCCCCAGCTCACCTCCCTGTCAGGTCTTGAGCAGTCAGCTAGCGACGATGAAGAGGCTTCAGGAACGACGTGAGAAAGAGCAACGTGAAAGGGAAGAGCTGGAGCAGGCTGCTCTGATCTTGGGTGTTGGGTTTAAGATTCTGAAATCGAGCGCATCCTAGTCCAAGCCGTCCTAGTCCTTATGCAATGCAAAGTTCACACTTCTCTTGCATTGTGCCAAGCTTAACCTCCTCTCTGGCTGGCAATCCGACCTAAGACAACTGCCTCTATATTGAGCTGTCGGTTGAGGGTTCAATCTCCCAGATGACTCTCACCAGTAAGAAGCGTCTGGAGCATCCAGGCACAGGCGGTGGATGAGGAGATGAAAGAGAGAGTCAAGCAGGCCGCTGTTCAACGCATGCCCAGCTACTACCACCTAGAGTCTTCTGGAGCGTCAGCGCATCCCTAGGTGACCGACTCATGCTTGCTTCTGAGATGCACACCTCCTCTGTGAGGCAGTTGGTCCCGTCGAGCCAATGGCAAGAAAGATCGAGCGCATGGTTGATGACAAGCGGCGTGGGCTGCAGAGGGTCCAGAGCCAGAAGCGCAAGGACGCTGTAGAAGCCAAGGGCTGTGCGACATCTTTTTGTCATAGTTGGGTAACATTTTGCATTTTACCCAATAAGGATTATAAATTTAAATTTTTAACATGAACCCAACAATGAACAAGATCTGACGGAAGTTGGCGGTGTAGGGTTTTGGGGTTTTGGGATTCATGCTTGAGGGCTGGGTGTTCCTGTCACTGCCTGAAGGCCTTCCCTAGTTGCTTCTTGGCAGCCACCGCATGCAATTTCGGTTGGATGTCCCAGCAAAGCGGTGGAAGGACATCGACATGATTCTCCAACGTGCCAACAATAGACCGCTCCTGATGCAGCAGGCTCTATATTTTGGTTTGTTACACTGCATTGTATTCTGTTACACTATATTATGTTCTACTATATTATATTATGTTATGTTATGTTAAATATACATATATATATATCATCCAACATACAAATACAGTATATTACGTGGCTGGTGAAGTCATGCAACCGTGGAATATGGAATGTCTTCTGAGCATAGCCTTTGGCCTCGCATCAGGCCGACACCGTCGAACGAGCTCGGCGACGAGCTCTGTTCCGCGTTCGCAACGCTCTGCGCCGATCTCAGGGGGATAGTACAGTATGTTTTACTACATTATATTCTGTGATACTATATTATATTATGTTTTGCTACTCTATTATTCTGTTTTGTGTTATGTATACGTGCCAAGCAGTGTCTTGCGAGCGTCAGGACACTACTGTAGTTTCTGCAGCACTGCCTTTGCGTCTGTCGGTGGAGCTGTTCTAAGGAGACAGGCCGGAGTGCGAGATGTGAATCGCATCTGATCTCAATCAGTAAGACTGTGCCAGTTGCGGATTCGAAATCAAATGTTCAATCCGTTGCTAATACCATGTCGGCCTGAGCAGCGGATTCCCCGCCTCCCCCCCCACAAGCTGGCAGACATCTAATTAAGTTGTTCTTTACATTTCCAGTGCGCTGCCCACAAGGGGCACTTAGTCAATGTTGTGGTTCTCAGTTTCTTTCTGCAGATTGCCTAAACCCTAAACCCTAAACCCTAAACCCTAAACCCTAAACCCTAAACCCTAAACCCTAAACCCTAAACCCTAAACCCTAAACCCTAAACCCTAAACCCTAAACCCTAAACCCTAAACCCTAAACCCTAAAAACCCTAAACCCTAAACCCTAACCCTAAACCCTAAAAACCTAAACCCTAAACCCTAAACCCTAAACCCAAACCCTAAACCCTAAACCCTAAACCCTAAACCCTAAACCCTAAACCCTAAACCCTAAACCCTAAACCCTAAACCCTAAACCCTAAACCCTAAACCCTAAACCCTAAACCCTAAACCCTAAACCCTAAACCCTAAACCCTAAACCCTTAACCCTTAACCCTTAACCCTTAACCCTTAACCCTTAACCCTTAACCCTTAACTCTTAACCCTTAACCCTTAACCCTAAACCCTAAACCCTAAACCCTAAACTGGAACCAGTGGTAGACGCAGCTAAGGCCACTTTGGCGAAGAAGAGTTGGACGAGTTGGGCCGGGGAGATGCTGGTGATAAGGAAGGGCGCCCCTACTTGGAGGTTCATGGTACTTATTAACCAATTATAACTGTACTTAGCACTGTACTCATAGCCTTATTATAATTGGTGAATAAGTACCATGAACCTCCAAGTACCACATCGGACTCAGCCTGGCAGATTGCAATGGTACCATAGTGGTTTACTGTCACATACTGCGACCATGCCGCAACCATGACCACACGATCTGCAGGAAAGCGAGGAGTACGCTGATGACTTCTCGTGACGTTGCTTTGGATCCGCTGGTTGTGCTGGCAGCCGCAGAGACTGCTCGCAGCATTGCTCATATTGTTTTTTTCGTAGAGGCCTTTCGGAAGCCTGGCCCCTGTACTTGTCTCTAGGAATCTGCAGAGTCTGAAGATCCACCTCCCATTAGCAGACGGGGAAGGCCAAGCTGAATTCGATGCCGAGTTTTTACTGTACACATGAATTCCGCCGCTGGCAGTGGCCGAATTTGACGTTGCATGCTGTAGAGGCTGACGGGCTAAGACTTCCATGAATAGCCTATTGTGCTTCCAGGATGGGCGATTATACCCTATAACCCCCCAACAAGGGCCCTTTATAGGGTTGTATATGGGGATGATAAGGCCTAATAGCCCATCCTGGTTTGGAGTGACAAAACCTATATTCTTACTGAAAAGGTTGCTTTCCAGACTTGCAGGCACAAAGGTGTCCCACTTCTTAGCCCTGATTGTAATTCGGACGACGCCGTCATGCCGCATAGCAAAAGCAGGCGCTTTCAATGAGCGTGGACTTTTGCCCATTGGTAAGTTCGGATCTTAGCACACACACCGTGCAATGGCTGCATTCGTGGCTTTGGCCTCAGCTTTCATTCTCTCTCAACCATGTGAAGAAGGGTTATGTCTGGATCTAACCGTCTTTGTCCACACCAAATTCTTTGTCCACACCAAATTTCATGACAGCACTCTTTCCACGGCTCCCAGTGGCAATCCTGCAAGCGGCCATGTCCGTGACGTCAAAGGATGAGGACTGGTTTTCTTGGGCATCGCGCTTGAAGGCACAGGGGCCTTGCAATTGGGGTGCAGCCGGGGCCAACTCCCTCCTGCTAGAAGGAAACACCAATCCCAGGCAAGACCTCTGCCCCTAGCCCCTAAACCCTAAACCCAAAGCCCTAAACCCAAAGCCCTAAACCCTAAACCCTAAACCCTAAACCCTAAACCCTAAACCCTAAACCCTAAACCCTAAGCCCTAAGCCCTAAGCCCTAAGCCCTAAGCCCTAAGCCCTAAGCCCTAAACCCTAAACCCTACACCCTATACCCTAAACCCTAGACCCAGACACGTTTCGGCCGCTCAAAAACCTTGCAGGTGGGAGATGGGCTGTGGTACCAGCGCTGCGAGGGCACCCCAGTTAAGGCGACAGTCGTTGCTCGACAGCTTCTGTGGACGTGTCCGAATTTCGGGGGTTTAGGGTTTAGGGTTTGGGGTTTAGGGCTTAGGGTTTAGGGTTTACGGTGTAGGGTTCAGGGTTCAGGGTTTAGGGTTTTAGGGTTTAGTGTTTAGGGGTACCCCCTTTTATACCCCAAATAATATAATAGAATTCCTTCAACGGTACCCCCAAAAAGGGTACCCCTGTTTCCTATAACAATGCAATTTGGCAATGGTGTAATGAGATATGGGGGTTTCAGAAATTAGGGGTACCTTATTGGGATCCTTCTTATACGGGAATCCTACTATGCGGGGGACTATCTTAGGGGTCCCCCTGTCTTTGTTTTTCGTAAATCCCCATGTTGAGACCCGTGTTTCTGGAAGACGCCGACGTGTGAAAAGCTGTTGTCAGACAATGCAGAAAATAAGGAGAAGATTTGCTTGACGAGCCGCACATGCTGGGTGCAGTATCAGGTGCAGCCTCTGAAAGGCCCTTGGGCCTGATGTTGGAAGCGTGCCGAGAGTGAGAAAAGGGGGTTTCGGAAATTGGGGGTACCTTATTGGGATCCTTCTTATAAGGGAATCCTACTATTTGCGGGTCTATATTGGGGGTCCCTTATTATCGTAAACCCTCACAATTGGCCAGAGTCGTTTGCTAGTCACGGCTCAGCAGATTGGGATGTTCCCCCTTACACAAAGAGTCCTTTATAGGGATTCTAATAGGGGTACTCTAGTCCTATTCAGGACGGTTAGTATAAGGGGGAGCATCCCAATGTGCAGATGTTGCCAGCTTCCACTGGAATCACCCCTGGCAGGTGGCAGACAGAACCGCCGTGCCCTGGTCAAAGTCGAGGCGCCGGTGGGTTGCGTTGCTCAGGGCATCAAAGTGGGTTCGGGGTTTAGGGTTTAGGGTTACACATGCATCGCCTTATGCCTTATGCCTTTGCAGGAGCTGATGCGGGTGCAGCAGGATCAAGAACGCTTGCCGCGAAGCTGCATCTTGTGCATAGCAGGCCCAGTAGTCTTGTAAAAGGAGCGCTTGTTTTGAAGCATCAGGCAAAAGAAGCTGATGGGTGGTGGTCGATAATTCCTCTTCAACGTGTTAACTAGAAGACGCCCAAAAGTACTGGTCTCCGTGATCCTGGATGTCAAGCACATCTCACATTCGGACATCAAGCGGGTCCCTAGCTAATGTTGTGGTTGTCTTCAGGATCCGTTCTCCCCTAAACCCTAAACCCTAAACCCTAAGCCCTAAGCCCTAAGCCCTAAACCCTAAACCCCAAACTCTAAACCCTAAACCCTATTTCAAGAGCGGCTGGGGTGCTGCGTCAGAGTTCAAGTTGGCACACTTAGGAGGTGTGATCCGAGGCGAATTCGGGGGTTTCCGAAAAAAGGGGGTCAGGGACCCTTACAAAGGGACCTTAGGGGTTATGCAGGGGTTTCCGAAAACTAGGGGTACCCTTTTTGACAGTCCGTTGAAAGGGGATCTATTTTGGGGGTATAAAGGGGGTACCCTGAACCCTAAGCCCTAAGCCCTAAGCCATAAACCCTAAACCCGGTACCCCTATCTTGGAAATTTTTCAAGCCAAGGAGCAGTGTGGCAAGCTCCATCGCTTCTGAAGTCGCTTCGGAACAAGGTTCCATCTGTGAGCGCCTGGGCTGAGTTTGACTCAAAAAAAGCCACGGGTTGCTGCCTCCGCCTAAACCCTAAACCCTAAACCCTAGACCCTAAACCCTAAACCCTCAACTCAACCCTCAACCCTAAACCCTAAACCCTAAACCCTAAACCCTAAACCCTCAACCCTAAACCCTAAACCCTAAACCCTAAACCAACCCTAAACCCTAAACCCTAAACCCTAAACCGCCCTAAGTCTTAAATTTTCAACCCTAAACCCTAAACCCTAAACCATCTCGTTCGTCATCCTTGCAGGGCTGGCTGGGCCTCGGAAGGCTACACGCCGACTATGGCCGAGCCACTTGGAGTCAGCAGACTTAGATGAGGGTTTAGGGTTTAGGGTTTGGGGTTTGGGGTTTAGGGTTAGGGTTTCCGAAATTTACGAAAATACGGGAGAGAGATAAATACCTCCCCCCCCCAAAACAGCAGGATCCCCTTATTCTAGGGACTACCCCTATCGTAAACCCCCAGGTGTTCGACCCTGAGGCTAGAAGACGGCGTGATTTCAGTCACAGCGGACAGCAACACTAAATCCTCCGGCCTTCAACTCTATACCCCAACCTCAGAGCCCTAAAGCCTAAAGCCCTAAACCCAATCTCGTCCGTCTCGAAGTCAGGACCATGCCGGCGCATCGATCCTTGAGGCTGGCAGTTTCGCAGCTGCGGCCCTTTCAGAACTCTTCAGTTGCCGAGCAGCCTGTGAAGCCAAAAGTCTTCGTCTGCAATGCGCATGAGACAATGTGCTGGCAGGATCTAAGGCTTTCCAAAAGGGGGGTCTCTGTAATGGGGATTGCCTTTCGTTTTCAGCCCCCCCCCCCCCCCCTATTTGGGGAAATGCCCATTTCCAGACTAATGAAGGGTGGGTGCATTGGATTGCCCAATCTGAAGAGCATTCGTTGCGCACGGATGTACACGGCTGTGGACCCGAAGGTCAAGAGGACTGAGCATGGTCGTGAGCGAAGATGAAGATGTTGTGGGTGCGCGATGCAGGCACGACCCAAAAGTGTCCTGGCCACTTCCAATCCAAAGTCAGTACGATACACGCCGACGTGCACGGTTGAAAAGACGCAGAATCTACAGTTCCTCGCTGGCTTGCAGTGCTCCCTAGACCCTCATTAAACCCTAAGCCCTCGACACTAAACCCTAAACCCTAGACCCTAAACCGTAAACCCTAAACACCAAACACTAAACCCCAAACTGAATATGCGATGGCTCTCGGAGCATCATCGAGGTTTGCTCTGCATTGCTTGCAGAGGCCTCAACGAGCCTACAGCATGGTCGTTGAGGAGGAGGAGGAGCCACAGAGGACAGCGGGGGAGCTTGATGATGATGATGATGATGATGATGATGATGACGATGATGATGATGATGGTTATTATTACCATTCTTCTTCGTGCTAGTATAAGTATAAGTATAAGTAGAAGTAGAAGTAGAAGTAGAAGTAGAAGTATAAGTATAAGTATAAGTATAAGTATAAGTATAAGTATAAGTATAAGTATAAATAAATAAATAAATAAATATATACATATATATACACATAAATTTGCCTGCTATATGGTTGCTGTTCTTACATTATCCTATATGACAGTTGCTATATATATATATATATATATGTATGTATATATATATATATATTCTTCTTGTTCTTCTTATGATTATTAACATTATTATGATTATGATTATATAGTAGATTATAGCTATATCGCTTCTGATTTGACGGACAGAGAGTCTGACAGCTTGCTCCCGTTGCCGGGCCATTTGCCACAAGGGTTTTTTGGATGGTTTGATGCAGCCATATGACCCTAAACCCTAAACCCTAAGCCCTAAACCCTAAACCCTAAACCCTAAACCCTAAACCCTAAACCCTGAACCCTGAACCCTGACAGCCTGAGCTCGTGAAGGCGAACCGCGACCAGCATGATCTTTGATGATCTTGAGAGCCTGGACATGAGCCCTTCCAGAACTCTGCCAAGGCATGCCGTGCACGTTTCATGGTAGGGGTTAGGGTTTAGGGTTTAGGGTTTAGGGTTTAGGGTTTAGGGTTTAGGGCTTAGGGTTTAGGGTTTAGGGTTTAGGGGTTAGGGTTTAGGGTTTAGGGTTTAGGGTTTAGGGTTTAGGCCTGCTGAGCTTACATGTTGCTGATTGGAGCACAGGCAACACAGCGCGGTGAGCATGATCTTCAGTGACACTTCTGGTCGTCCCTCTCTCGGGAGCCTTGCCTTTACAATCGACAGATAACCTTCCTTGCCAAGGGTTTAGGGTTTAGGGTTGAGGGTTGAGGGATTAGGGTTTAGGGTTTTGGGTGAGGTGTACTTGCTGACCGTCTCAGGGCTCGAAGAGCTTAGGCGAAGAACCCCACGCAGCATGGTCAGCGAGATGCCGGAGAACTGGTCTGAAAGGACTGGATGCCCTGTTCTAGCTGCACACAAGCCATGACAAAAGGACAGGCGTTGCGGTCAACAAAGTGTGCTAGCTCCAGTCCATGACGGAGTGAGATCTCTTGCTTAACATTCTCCGCGTGCTTGGCTTGCCTGCTGGCAGCAACAAACCTCTTTGAAACAGAGAGAGGCCTATCTCTACACCAGTTTCGGAACCGTGGCTTCTTTGCACTGAGACTCAGCAGTGAAAGGATGCGGTTGACGTGCGACGGCAGCTTAGGCGAAGGACCGCACTCAGCATGCTCAGCGAGATGCCGGAGAACTGGTCTGACAGGACTGAAAGTCCTGGATGAGCCTTACCAAAACCCTAAACCCCATTTCTGAAAAGCCCCTAAAGTTTCAAAACTTAAGCCGCCCACAGAGGCCTGTCTCTACGCCTCCGCCAGAGCTGCTTTCTTGCACAACGTGACCCCCCAGTGTTGAGACAATGACACTAAATGGGTCATTCCCCCGTGCCCTGTTTAGGGGGTCTAGGGGTTTAGGGTTTAGGGTTTCGGGTGTATGTAGGACTAAGGTTCCCCAGAATACGGATCATCATAGTTCGGGTTTTTTTTCGGGGTTATGTCAGCAAGCAGATGCTTTCCTTTTGTCTTGTTGTAGCATTTCTCTAAATGTTTGTGTCATCTCATCTCGTCTGCTTTGTAACTCGCTTCGATTATCTCTTAATTCGCTATGAAAACGAAAGTTTCAGGTATCATCTTTATTTTGTTTTCTCATTGTTTCTTCTAATGCTTCTTCAGAAGTTGGGCGTCGCCTTAACATGTATATTCATGCGTCGATGGCTAGGTTTATTAGACATATATATATATATGTATGTATATGCTTTTTTGCTTTAGTGACTTCTCAAATTGAACAATCTATATGAAACTCAATAAAGCATTCAACAGCATTTTTACCTACCTCCTTGCCTGCTTCGAATATTGTTCCTCCTATACCAGTTGATGAAGAAGCGTGGCCCTTTCCTTTTTCCTTTTTCCTTTTCCTTTCTTCATCGTCCATGTCTGATTTCTTTTCCATCTATCGGTTCAGTCCAAGCGCCATTGTCTTCACCATCCTGTTTTGACAAAATTTTGCTATCCTCCATTAAGTCTAAATGATAGTTTTTGAAACATACCCTGGCAGGGTCTCCTCATACAAAGGGCAGACCTGACAGGTCCTGCATGAACCTTCCCGGTTCAGGCCCATATAGAGCCCCTAGGGTTGGGAGGGTGGGTGAAGAAAAGGAAGCCCTCCAGGCTTTCCTTTCTGCTAGCACCCTCCTGGTGCTCCTGGCTGTGTGCCCGCCTGGCACACTCAGATCTGTGAGCCCGACAGCCACATCGAAGCAATAGCACCTCACCAACCTGCCGTAAAGGTACCAAATGTATAAGTTCTTTTGTTTCTTGTTCCTGCTATCATGAAGTCCTTTTTGCTTAATTCGCCCCTATGCGGCACAGCTATGCCTTTGTAACAGATTTGATATTCAGTATCATCGACCGACTTACTACTCCAAAATGTCAAATGAGGAGTCTAATGAGCATCGTCTTCACAAACTGCCATATCTTCTTCTTCCTCTACATAATGGTGGCGTTTCATCAGTTCCTTTTTGTGCATCTCAACCCCGGCGGGTAAGGCTGGGTAAGGATTGACGATTGACTTCATCTAAATCACTTCTTGCTCGTTCTGTTGTTCTTTGACTTGCTTGTTCTTGTCTTCTCAATCCTTCTTCAAGTTCGGTTCGCATTTTCAATCTTTGTCCGTCTATTAAATAACCTTCGCCTCCTTCATCAGTTTCCATTTCATAAACTTCGGCAGGTGTTGAAAAATCACTTGCTCCTATTGAAAGTCGCAGCTCCTGCTTTTTTCTCTTTGTCTTAATTGTGCTCGCCTAACATCTTCGTTTGCTCTGTCTTCTTCTTGCTTCTTCAACCCCAGAAAATCAGTATTATCTGATTGACTTCCGAACTGGTTGTTGCGCAACAGCCATTCCAGGCAAAAAGTTCCCTTCAAGGGGTGCAAACCTGGCAGCATTGGGGAGGGGATTAGAGGTGGGCCTGCTTTCTGCTACCAATACACCTACGGCCCCAGGCCTCGGCGGATTTATTCTGCTATGTCGTCAAGTATCACCAGTATATTTTATGGTTTCTTGTCTTTCCTATCGTTTAAGCATTTCGTAGTTTTTGTTTGTGTATCAATGCTCTTCGTTTTAAGTCTTCTGTTTTGTATTCTTCAAAAAACATGGCTCTTTCTCTTCATTGACGTAATTCTTCTTTCACATATTGTCTACGGGTAGCCAAATACTGTCATGCTTATAAATTTCAAATATCAAGGATACTAATAAAGCGCTTTTACCACGTCCGCTGGGTGCGACTATTCACGCACGAAAAGGCACGTTGAGGACAGTAGAATATTTTGATTGCTTGAATTCATAGTTGATTTCATTTTATTGGTTTTACGATGGAAGGTACGAGAATGCAACCAAAGCATGTCTCATTGCGAGTTGTACGATTATGACATAAAGAAGTGTAAGAAAACACACTACGAGAAGTCCAACACCACAAATACTTCTTATAGAACAAGTCTAAACAGTGAAAAGCTGGAACGACCAGATGGAAGGGACTTGTATTATGGTATGGAATACTTCTGCTGTTTGAAATGCAAGAGGAAAGAACTATGTATTTTCCGGTGAGCACGTATCCAGCGAAGAACATAGCACAGCAAGGTAAGATGGTTTAATTTATGTGGTTTATAAGAATCTATAGCTTAAAGCGTTTGTCAGTTTGTTTTGTGGATTTAGTAGGCAGGTTGAGAATGCTTTGGCGGGAGATGGAAGGCGAGTGGGGGTGGGGGTCTGAGGACAGCATCTGCTTGCTTTATACTGTGGATGTTCCCCCTTTTACTAACAGTCCTTCATAGGGAATGTTTTTTTGTCAGGGATACTACAACCCCTATTAAGGACTGTAAGTACAAGGGGGAACATCTCAAGTGGTGACGGTTGAGCTCGAAGCGCTTAGGCGAAGAGCTGCGCTCAGCATGCTGAGTGAGATGCCGGAGAATTGGACTGACAGGACTGCCCTACAGAAAGGGTTTAGGGTTTAGGGTTTAGGGTTTAGGGTTTAGGGTTTAGGGTTTAGCGTTTAGGGTCTAGGGTTTATGGTAACCCACGGAATGATTGGAGTAGTACTTGGCATGTTGCAGTCCTGCTGCCGGTGACTGAGAGCTCTAGAGGCACATGTTTACTTGCTGCAGCAAGCTTCACAGAAGCAGCCAGGCCTGTTTCTACGCCTCCGCCAGAACTGAAGCTTTGCTGCACCAAGACCCAGCTCCACATCACGTCGAAGCACCCGAATTGCTGGGAGTTGCAGGCAGAATTCGCAGGTGAGATCTGACCATTGGCCTTATTACTGTGATGATTATTATTAATATTTCACAGGGCTATATACTGCGCCGTGCGTTGTAGAAGCAAAGCCGAATCGAGTGATAAGGCCAGACTTCGAATCAGAAGTTGATCCGTCACCAGAACCGCCGCCACTCTTGCACTGGAGGAGCAGTTTTTAGCACGCGTTTCCCGAAACACTGGTGCCCCCTTATGTTCCTCCGAAAACTGCTATAGCCCTTATGATTATCATTGTCCCCAAGAGCAGATACCGTAACTTTTGGAAATTTCCTGGTCGCGTCAGCTGCACTCTCGGCCATGGCACATTTGGTTTCTTAGAATGTTGGCTAAGGTCGGAGAAAGGGCTCAGCATTTCCGCATCGACGCCACAGCATTCTCGAGATGAGAGTGTTTCAGAATCCTGCCAGACTGTCCCTGAAGTGAGCCTCGAGCATCTTGGCTGGGAATCCGCGTGTGTACCCTAAACCCTAAGCCGTAAACCCTAAACCCTAAACCCTAAACCCTGAACCCTGAACCCTGAACTCTGAACCCTGAACCCTGAACCCTGAACCCTGAACCCTGAACCCTGAACCCTGAACCCTGAACCCTAAGCCCTAAGCCCTAAACCCTAAACCCTAAACCCTGCTTGACAGGGACGTCAAGCACTTGCAAGCTCAATCCTTCCCAGTCCAGGTATTGTGACGAAGGCAAATGGCCATGTGCGCAATGGACCATGCCAGAACTGGTTCCCTGCTTGCATTCAGGGTTTAGGGTTTAGGGTTTAGGGTTTAGGGTTTAGGGTTTAGGGTTTAGGGTTTAGGGGTTAGGGTTTAGGGTACTTTACATGATCCTTGCTTCGCTTCCTTGACCCGTACTTGGTGGGAAGCGGAGTGCAAGCATTGCTCCAGTCGCAGGCCAGCAGGTGCTTAGGTTCACGGTACTTGTAAACCAATGATAACTGTACTTATAACCCACTTATCAGCCCCTTAAGTGCCCTAATATGGTGATAGGTACAGTTATAAGTACAGTTTTAAGTACAGTTATGATTGGTTAGTAAGTACCATGAACCTCCAAATATGAGGCATCTCACTGCATGTCTGCCGTTGCCGCAGTGTGGGCTCCACAAGAATTCATCAGTGCACAAAGACAATGCACGTGCACGCATCCTGAAGTACCACCAGGACTGCGGTTTCGGAAGGGGATGCCAGGAGTGTGAACTACCCTAAGCCTTAAACCCTAAGTAACCCTAAACCCACCCTAAACCCTAAACCCTAAACCCCTAAACCCTAAACCCTAAACCCTAAACCCTAAACCCTAAACCCCATTAGCAACTCTTTTCCTCTTGCAGTGGGCAAGCCTGAGAATTCTCCCCCACATCCTGACTTCGCCTCCGCCGAAAGGTCGGTGTTGGCCCGCTAGACCCCAAGCTGACCACCCCACCCTACATAACCCACACCGGCCCCAAAGTCAGGCCGCAGAAGGCTTATGGTCTGAGATGCCTAGAGGGAAACACATACCTCGCTGCGTCTATATAGTTTTCTTTTGTTTTTACGTTTGCGCTGCCTGCCCCATGTCGATTTGCTGCGCTTCCTTAAGCTACAAGTTCAACAACCCTTAGAATTTAAACTCTAAGCAGATTTTGGGTTCCAAGGCAATCAGAACTCAACGGCAGGATCAATGGCCTACCTGCGAGCTCAGCTGGTCTAAAGTGGCTCGGGGCCGAGGACGACGTTGTGCCGAGATGTTCTGCTTCAACTGCCGAGCTGAGGCCGGATGATCTCGGCGCCGCAGGGGAAACGCTTCACACCAGTGACCAGCAGCCTGCGCTGGCAGAGCTTGACGCCTGGCGGCAGCAGTTCGTACTCGAACAGGGTGAGCCGAGCCATCGACAAGCCAAGCGCGAGCTCTTGCCTAAACCCTAAACCCTAAACCCTAAACCCGAATCCCTCATCCCCAATTCCTGCCTAAGGAAGAGGCTTGCCTCTGGCTGTCAGGGCGAGTACATATCAGCTGCTGGCGACTCCGTCTTGCGACTTCCAGAGGCTTGAGATAGCTGGGACACCGTACTCGTGTCGTGTTGAGACTTTAGGGTTTAGGGTTTAGGGTTCAGGGTTCAGGGTTTAGGGTTTAGGGTCTTCAGCATGCTCGGCATAGCACGCCGCGTTTGTGCTTGGGAGGCGAAAGTGGAGGATGTGGATCCGCTGGAAGTCATGCAAGTCGGCCGGCACGTGTCCTGACCTGCAAGTGGCTCATTGACTCAGATGCTGAAACAGGATACCCACATGCACCCAAGCCACGTTTCGCCTCCGGTTTCCTTTTGCCCAATGTGCTTGGACTTGGGGCGTTTGTGCTGCATGCCCTCTGTCTAAGACAGGTCCCTGAGCCCTAAACCCTAAACCCTAAAGCCTAAACCCTATATAAACCCTCAACCCTAAACCCTAAGCCCTAAACCCTAAACCCTAAGCCCTAAGCCCTAAGCCCTAAGCCCTAAGCCCTAAGCCCTAAGCCCTAAGCCCTAAGCCCTAAGCCCTAAGCCCTAAGCCCTAAGCCCTAAGCCCTAAGCCCTAAACCCAAACCCTAAACCCTAAACCCTAAACCCCAAGCCCTAAGCCCTAAGCCCTAAACCCTAAACCCTAAACCCTAAACCAGGTGATGTACTACAACCCGAAAGCCAAGCGACTTGAAAGTCGCGTTGTAAAGATCGACGAGCAGCTGAGCTTCCTCTTTGTGCTGCAGCCTGGCAGCCCAGTGGTACCCTTTTCCTTTTTTGGGATTTAGGGTTTAGGGTTTAGGGTTTAGGGTTTAGGGTTTAGGGTTTAGGGTGGGTTCTGGTTTCCCTTATAAAATCACTTTTCCCTTTTGTTTTGTTTGGTTTCTGGTTTCCCTTGTAAAATCACATTTTCCTTTCTTTTTTTGTTTGGGTTCTGGTTTCCCTTATAAAATCCCTTTTTGCTTTTGTCTCGGGTTCTGGTTTGCCTTATAAAATAGCCAGCCAAAAAAGGGTGCCCTTATGTAAGATGGTTACTGGGCTACCAAACCTAAACCCTAAACCCTAAACCCTAAACCCTAAACCCTAAACCCTAAACCCTAAACCCAAAACCCAAAACCCTAAACCCTAAATCCTAAACCCATATTATAAGGTTACTGGGCTACCAAGGCAGGAAGGAACTCTTAAGGAGCCTTTCGCTGCACGGCTCTACGAGGTCGACGAGGCAAGGGAAATTTAAGGACAAGAAGGAGGTTAGGAGGGGTTATGAGGGGGTTAAGGGTGGTGTAGGGTTTAAGGTTTAGGGTTTAGGGTTTAGGGTTTCGGGTTTAGGGTTTAGGGTTTAGGATTCGCACGAGCCGCAGACAACAACGCCAGGTGGTGACCTCAACACGGGCAATGCAGATCTGTGAGGAACTGGATCTGAGTGACGAGTACTTGATGGAGTCCACTGCTGTAGTCGTCACGCATGCGCGTGCCTGTGCTTCCCTCATTCGCGAGCTTTAGGGAGTTTAGGGTTAGGGTTTAGGGTTCAACCCGAAACCCGAAACCCTTATTAGGGAGTTTATGGGGGTTAGGGGCCATTTGATGCTGTCGACCCATCCCTAAACCCTAAACCCTAAACCCCCCTAAACCCTAATCCCTCATCCCTCATCCCTAAACCCTAAACCCTAAACCCTAAACCCTAAACCCTAAACCCTAAACCCTAAACCCTAAACCCTAAACCCTAAACCCTAAACCCTAAACCCTAAACCACATCACATGGAACTTAAGGAAGCGCAAAGGACAGAGAGCTGCCCTTGAACTGGGACAAGGCCACAGACTCTGCTTCTGCTGTAGCGCCTGTTGCTCAGGGTTTAGGGTTTAGGGTTTAGGTTTCGGGTTTAGGGTTTAGGGTTTAGGGTTTCGGGTCTCGCCGGATGAGAGCAGTCTTGTAGTCCCCATCCTTCGTCAGGTAATGGTTTTCGTGGCTCCTCCTGCGATGAAGCTTGTCACTCACCTCGCCGCATGCGTGGAGCTGTCCAAACTTAAGTTCTCTGCCGGTACTGATGACGAAGAAGGCTTGCAGACTAGGGTTTAGGGTTTAGGGTTTAGGGCTTAGGGCTTAGGGTTTAGGGTTTAGGGTTCAGGGTGTATTCGTTTCCCCACCCCCCGTCCGACGTGACGGCCTTCAATGGGCCGTAAAGTTAGGGTTTAGGGCAGCCGAACGCCGGACTTGGGGTTTATGTTCATTTTTGGGCTTCCTTTCGTATTACTAAGAGTCCAAGGGTTTAGGGTTTAGGGTTTAGGGAAGAGACAGTTAAATGAGATAGAGCCCGCCCACCTACCTGTCGGAAGATGGCACGTCCTGGCAGGTGTCAGACTGAAAGATACTGGCCGCTATCTCGATGCTGCTCGCATTGGCAACTGCTCCGCCATCTTCTTTCACTACTCTGAAGGCGTCGATTTGGAGTTCACTCTGCGTCCGGCAGACTCCGATGACACGCAGGACTGTGCAGGTCTTGTCTGGCAGCTGCAAGTTTTGAAAAGGTTTAGGGTTTAGGGTTTAGGGTTTTGGGTTTTGGGTTTAGGGTTGAGAACAGCGATGATCGTGTTGTCATTGCACGCAGTCGCACACAAGCAACATCAGCCTGTTCTGAGTCTCTGAGCTTTACCTTTGTTGTGGCCAGCGGAGTTCGAAGCACGAGTAGAGCCAGTGTAGAGCCAGAGACTGTAAGTTGAGCTAGGGGCAACGCAACCTCCCAAGGACTTCGAGAACAAGATGCCCATCACTCACCACCTCGCGTTTCCGATGGAGTATGGCAATGTAAAGATCGAGATCAACAAGCTGATGGATAGGCTTGGCATTCTTCCAGCCTTGGACCTGACGCGCCTCAGCTTAGTGATGTATGAGATGGTGATTCACCGACACTGGATCCTTCATCACATCCGACTCTTCCCGGGAGGGATGTACGAGTTCATGCAGGACAGGAACGGGCTGCAGGCGCACTTCGACGTGAACAGCGAGGTGCAGCATCAGCTCTCCGAGCTCCCGCCGCCCCCCAAGCGCCAGATGGACGTGCACTACTACTCCAGCAGAGCCTTGCAAGCCACCATCTTGGCCTTGAGGCATCTCTTCGCGCTCGAGGCTGTCTTTGCAGCAGCAGACAAGAGGAAGGTTTCGGAAGCACCTGAGGATGTCACCCATGGCATCCAGATCTTCTGCAGAAGTCGCAGCAGATCTGCTGCGGATGAGTTTGAGGACCTGGAGTCCGAGGAGCAAGATCCGGAGATCTGCAGAGACCCCGGCAGGAGAGGTTCTGGCGGCGTCGTGCTGGATGTTTCTACAGAAGCACCTGACTTCGAAGATGTAAGTGACGTAGAAGACTTCACCTTCGCTGTCAGAAGAGAGATTTAAAAATCGAGCGCGTTGTGTTGGTCGCCAGTTGGCGGGACTTAGGGTTTAGTTTAGGGCATCAGCTGCTCGCGGAAACACATTCGAATGAGATTTCCTGGTCCATTACAAAGGGTTGCGCCCTTGACCTTAGGGAGTTTAGGAGCATGGGACAAGCAGGGAGCGGCCCCATTACGGTTCAGAAGACTTTCTGGCTGTTTTGCACCCCTCCGCCCCTCTGCCGCGGCATCACCAAGTTCCTCTGGTGTTGTAAGTGCCCGCTGCATCGCATCATGCCCTTGACGATTATCGTGAGCCTGCTGAGTGGCAGGAAAGTTTCACTGGAAGCAGATCCGGATGAGACTGTAGAAACCTTGAGAAGCAGAGCACAGCGGGCCCTGGCAGTTGGCAGAGGTAGACTCCTGTCCTCATGCGGAGGCGTTGTGGATACAGCAGGCACGCTTCAGGAAGCTACGTTGCAGAACGGCGATACATTGAGCTTGCATTTGAGTAGCGTTTACGTAAGCGGCAATGCACGTGCTTTTGCCGCTATCCTCGGCGATGGGTCCGTTGTGACCTGGGGCAATGCTGGCTTTGGTGGCGGCTGTGCAAGATAAGCTGAAGGAGGTGCGGCAGATCCAATCTACTGGCGGTGCTTTTGCTGCCATCTTTGGGCGATGGGTCCGTTGTGACCTGGGGCGATGCTGCCGCTGGTGGCGACAGCAGAGCTGTGGAAGGTCGGTTGAAGGATGTGCATCAGATCCAAGCTACAGCTAACGATGACGAAGACGATGGAGCTTTTGCTGCCATCCTGGGCGATGGGTCTGTTGTGACCTGGGGGCTGCTGCCTTCGGTGCAGCAATGCTGTGCAAGATCAGCTGAAGGACGTGCAGCAGATTCAAGCTACCGGCGGTGCTTTTGCAGCCATCTTCGGCGATGGGTCCGTTGTGACCTGGGGCGAAGCTTGCAGTGGTGGCGACAGCAGTGCTGTGCAAGATCAGCTGAAGGACGTGCAGTAGATCCAATCTACCGACGCTGCTTTTGCAGCCATCTTGGGCGATGGGTCCGTTGTGACCTGGGGCTATGCTTTCAATGGTGGCGACAGCAGAGCTGTGCAAGGTCAGCTGAAGGACGTCCAACAGATTCAAGCTACCGGCGGTGCTTTTGCTGCTATCTTGGGCGATGGGTCTGTTGTCACCTGGGGCTATGCTGGCAGTGGTGGCGACAGCAGATCTGTGCAATGTCAGTTGAAGAACTTGTAACAGTGGCAGATGAAAGGTATTGCTGTGCTGGTGCGTGTGGTAGAATTGGTACACGGTTGAGGTTTTGCCCTAAACCTTCCAACCCCTCCCATGCTTTGCAATTGGCTGCGAGGCTCTAATGATAAGAGCAGAGTCATGTACATTGCCGCAGCACTGTTGCAATGCAAGCCAATGCAAGCAACAAGCCGTCTTGCGTATTTGCAAGTTTTGAACATTCCAAGCCAAGGTTGGACTGGAGCCAGAGCATGTGGACGCTTGGGTCAAGTTATTTCCGGAAGAGTAATCCCCTCCCTAATTTGAAGCCCCCCGCTACCCCCCAATATTAAATACCGCCCCCCCCCCCCCCCCCCCCTCATATACTTTCAGAAAATTTTAATGGGAGTAATTAATATTAGGGGGGGGTTATCATTTGGGGGAGGGGATTAGCTTGTACTTTCCTTCCATCCAGTCACGGCGCTCTCATTGCAAGAGGATCCTTTTTGGCACTCGGCATTGGACAAGTGTGGCACATGCCCAACTTCCTTGGCGGCCCACACCACTCACAAGGCACTGTTTGGGGCACGTTGGAAGGAATCTCTTTCGCGGGTTTAGGGGGGGAAAGCTATGACATCCTGAGTCATGCTTGTTTCCTTTCCTGCGGGGATTGTTCTGAATTCCTCCCATGATGGAAACCTTTAGAGGCCAGAAACCCCAAGAACCTTCTAACCGTAAACCCTTACCCCTTCACCCTAAAACCTAAAACCTAAACCCTAAACCCTAAAACCTCCTAAACCCAACCTGGCTTAAGACGCTGAGTTCCGCATCCTTGAGAGGTGGAGAGGGAGCTGTCCGAACTGTGTCGTCTGTTGGAGCACAAGGCTCGAGTCGCTCTTGTGCATGGTTTGGGGGGGGGTTGGGTTTAGGGTGTCTTGGTGTAGGGCTTCGGGGTTTATGCAGGGTTTAGGGTCGAGAGTGAGCAGTTGAAGCTTCAAAACTTTTCTTCGTGAACTCTCTGTGTAGGCTGCTTCTTTGGCTTCGTTTGCTTCCACACATGATCCTGATCAAAGTGTCGAGTCCTCAGATGAGATGAACGTGCACAATGCGGATCCCCTTCTCGGTTCATGGCTATACGACGTTTGCAGGACACGTCAAGCTGCAAGCCTTCCTCGTCGGAGGCATGTGTGTGTGTGTGTGTGTACGCCGTTCTCCTCTCTCTGGCTTTCAGAAGCTGCTCTGGCAGCGCAGTTCAGTGGATCTCGCTGCCTTGAGGATGGAGAGTGGGATCCCCTGGCTCACCTGGCCCCGATACAGCCTGAGGCGCCTGAAGTGGCAATTGCTGATGCCTGCACAGTGGTGGCAATCTGGGGGGTTTCCGAAAATGGGGTACCCTTTTTGGGGGGTCCCTTTAAGGGGATTCTATTTTGGGGTATATAGGGGTGCCCCCTATTTTCGTACACCCCCATCTGGAGCTCTGCCAGGTCAGCATACCTCCCGACGAGCACACCAAAGCGCCTTGGAACAGCGAGATGCTGGATTCTGACTCTGACCATGCAATTGACAGAAGTGTTGTGCCCGAGGCCGAAAGCGAGACGTCGGAGTCTCCCATGGTCGCGATCAAAGCAGGGCGCGGTGAACGCGAGTTCGATCCCGATGCTTTTGCGGAAGGAAGCAGGCCCTCGTCTCCTTAATGCGGTCACCCCCTCGCTCAGACTCTCTGTCTCTTTCTCTCGCGCCCCTTGAGTTGTCTCTCCAATGAAGCATCTCTCGCTCTCGCTCTCTCCTCTTTCTCTCTCTCTTCGCTTTCCCTCTCTCCTCTCTCTATCTCTCTCTCTCTCTCCGCTCTCTCTGTCTCTCTGTCTCACTCTCCCCTCGCTCTCTCTCTCTTACTCTGTCTCTCTCTTTCCTCTCTCTCTTTCTCTCTCCCTCTCTCTCCTCTCTCTCTCTCTCTCTCCTCCCTCTCTCTCTCTCTCTCTCCTCTCATCTTTCTCTCTCCCTCTCTGCCCTCTCTCGTCTGAGGCTATTGACAAAGTCTATGTTTGAAATCCGACATGAAGTGAACGACCTAGTTTGCTCCTGTCAGGCCAAAAAAGCCCGGATTCATGGAGTCTCGCCTCAAACTGTGAGGGAATTCGGCAACAAGCAAGGCAGCTGGGCATTCTGCTTAAGGGTTTTAGGGTTTAGAGTTTAGGGTTTAGGGTTTAGGGTTTAGGGTTTCGGGGCAGCGAGATCACATGTCAGCATTGGCTTCATTAAATGACAGTTTGGCACTTGGTATCCGCGCAAGTCACCAAATTCTCCCAGTCAGTAGACGAGAGGGGGCCATGAGAAGGAGGCATGAGGAGGGGCGCATCCGGAAGCGTTTGTGAACCCTAACAGCCCTACCCTCTAAACCCTAGCCGCCCTACCCTTAACAGCCCTACCCTCTAAACCCTAACCGCCCTACCCTACAAGCCTTTGAACATCCTTGAAACCCCCTAAATCCTAAACCCTGCACCCTAAACCCTAAACCCTCAACCTTATAAGCCACCTGAGGGATTCGGACGTCCGCTGAGGATCGGATGCTGAGGACCTTCTGCCCTGCTCTTTTGAAGTCGCGAGCCGAGTGGCACACGAGTGGTGTTCCCCCTAATTCTTCGTAGAGAATGCGAACGAGGGCCCTATGTAATCCCTTAACGGGACAAAAGTAGGGCCCGCATACCCTCATTCCCTACGAAGAACCAGCCAGCGTTTTATGGCTTAGTGTTCTGAGTGAACTGTGGCCGCTCCTCTCACAAGGTCGCGTTTGGAGAAAGGCTCGCAAGCTTTCTCAGAAAGTGATTTGAGCCATCTTTGTGGACGGCCCTCCGATCAGGCGAGGCTACAAGCCACGAGCCAGCAAGCTTGCCGAGGCTCAATACTAAGAATGATAATTTTAAGACTAATCAAACAATAACAATAACGAAAATAGTAATAATAATAGTAACAATAGTATTTTGAATATTAATCATAACGAGAACTGCAGAGCACCCAAGGGAGGAACTTGAAAGCCACGCGTGCTCATGTTGGCGCAGGTCGCTGGGGGCAGATGAGTTTAGCTCGGATCTGAGGCTGTTGAGAAGAATTGGGTGAAGCTTGCCGCCGAGTTCCTAGGCCCCAGCAGTCGCGAGCAGACGCCGGGGGAAGCACCTGAACCTGAACCAATGAGGCCGCATCTGCTTTGCTTTCCTGCTTTTCTGGATGCATAGCCGCACAGCTAAAGTTGTTTTTCGAAGTTCACTGCCAGGCTGGACATGTCGTCTGGCTCATCAGGGCTGGTTGGAGCAGGCGCACGTGCCCCCTTTGCAAAGCGGCCAGCAGCCCCAATGTATATGCATGTATGATCGCGGTTCACAGTTCACCGGTCCCCCCCTCTCCCCGACCCGCCGCTGGTATCACACCCCCCCCCCCTTCCCCCCCCCTTCCCCCCCCCTTCCCCCCCCCTTCCCCCCCCCCCCCCCCCCTTCCCTTCCCCCCCCCTTTCCCCCCCTTCCCCCCCTCCCCCCCCCCTTCCCCCCCCCTTTCCTCCCCCCCCCTTCCCCCCCCCTTCCCCCCCCCCTTCCCCCCCCCTCCCCCCCCCCTTCCCCCCCCTTCCCCCCCTTCCCCCCCCCTTTCCCCCTTCTTCCCCCCTTTCCCTCTTCCCCCTTCCCCCTTCTTCCCCCCTTCCCCCCTTCCCCCCTTCCCCCCTTCCCCCCTTCCCCCCTTCCCCCCTTCCCCCCTTCCCCCCTTTCCCCCCCTTCCCCTTCCCCCCTTCCCCCCTTCCCCCCTTCCCCCCTTCCCCCCTTCCCCCCGCCCTCCCCTCCGCCTCCCCCAAAAAAAAAACCCCAAACCTCCCCCTCCCGTAAACCCAAATCTTAAACCCAAAAACCTAAACCTCGGTGGAACCCTAAACCCTAAACCTTATACCCTAAACCCCTACCCAGCAACCACACCACCGGAGGGGGGGAATTCGAAACTCCAAACCTTAAACATACGCACCGCACAACAGCTCAGCTTACAAACCTTGAACCCGAAACCGTAAACCTTGAACCCGAAGCCCTAACCCCGACCTCCCAACCACACCACATGGCGGGGGACCACACCTACGGGGGCAGGTACCACGGAGGGGGGGGGGGGGGGTGACCCAGCGCGCCCTGATCATCGAGACAAAATATAACAACCTAATGTTATATACTACATTACTTTTTGTTGCATAATGGTTCACACTTAAATATAATGCACTATGTACGATGAAGGTATCTGGCTCTGAACATGCCTGTGCAGTCGTTTAGGCCGTTGCATGAGCACGCGTGCAACACGCCTCACTGTTTTGGAGCTGCCAGGCGTTGGGAAGATTGACTAACCGTAGGGCACCGAGATGTGCGATCATGGCTGGAGACGGTTCTTGCAGCTCGCACCACGAAGACCTCATCACATCCCATGCGGAAACCGTCTTCATGCTGGTAATTCATTCGTACAGGTGCAACTCAACCGTCAGGAATTGAGCTGGACTGTCTTGTACGTCTCAGAATTAGGTATCAAGTTTGGCAACCTCAATTCCTGTAATTGACAGTTTGCATGCATTTGCATGCACTTGCTTTGACTGGCTGGGAAAGCCTCGTGGCCAGGCTGGCGTAGTTGGAAAGCAGCAGTTGCTTTCCTGCTCGATGCATGCCTTGTTTTGTAGCTGCCAGTTCAAACTCGAACCCATTTCAGCCTGGAAGGGCATGTGGTCCGAGACTTGATATGCAGCGATGATGCCATGCCCTTTCTCTGAATAAGAGCCCACTGAAGTGAGCGATTGAAAAAGTATTCCCTCGCGGTTCGCAGAGGAAGAGCGTTTGGGCTCCACTCATCTGAGATGAGGTTGCGGGCAAGAGGACCCTGGAAGACAAGGACATGGCAACAGCGGAAACAATCTGTGCTCTGCTCTGGTTTCCTTCTCTTCCACTCTTGAGACTTGATGTACTGGAAAGATCTCTGCCTTGCCTTTCATGGGGCTCGCAGACCTCAGTTCTTGAAGGCCTTTTCTGTGACTTCTCCAATCGACGGTGTGATTTTAGACGCTGCGCGCGCCCGCGTCGGTGTGCAGAGGCTTTTAGAGTTTAACTAGCTAGACAGCGCTCAGCGCGCGATGGTTTGAATTCACTTTCCTTTCTTTAAGAGAGTCCAGCGTGAATCTTCCCTCGAAACTACTGCGTTCGACCCAACGCGAGGCCCGTGACTTGCTGTGCGGTCAATCGTCCGCTGCTTCTTTGCCTCGAAGCCACAGTCAGATTTTCGAGCCTCCCGGTACGGCAGATCCTTGAAAAACCATGGCGTCGCCGACTCTGCGCACTCTGTCTGGGCTGCCGGCTGAGCCGACTCCGCTCAAGGACTCTGCTCTGGCGCCTTGCTAGAATGCATCAGAATGCGTTGGGATCCCTGGTGTGCTTGATTATTTTAAGGGGCTGCGCCCATGGGCGGGCAGCGCACGCAGAAGCCCGGGGCGAGCAGTTTCTAAGCATGTTGAGGCCCCTAAACTCCCTTAAAATCTCTAAGCATTAAGTTTCTCAGCATTTTCAGGCCACTAAACTCCCTTCAAATCTCTAAGCGTTTGAGGCTCCGAGACTCCCTTAACGTTTCTAAGCACTTTATAAGGCCCCTAAACTACCTTTTTCCTAGCCCCGGGCTTAGACACGTCGCTTATGCCCGCCCTTTGGGGGGCATCATGCTCCTGATGCCCCCCCGCGGTCCCGCCCCGGGAGCCGCTGATGCTCCTGATGCGCGCCTGGGGGTCCCGGCCTGGACCCGCTGATGCTCATGATGCGCGCCCTCTGGGGGCCTCCGTGGCGACGCAAAAAACAACGAAAAAAAGCCGTTCACCGGCGGCACGCGGGGGTCGGCGGCACTGGCGTCCGGCCTAATTCTGCTTCGCAGAAGGCCAGAGGCCAGCAAGGCTATTCCCGGGACGACCCGGGCTAAAAGGTCCGCATTTGCTCGGTCCTTTGGGGACCTCGCGCTGCCCGATTTAATGGCTACCGCCAGTGCCGCCGACCCCAGACCCAAGGTGTGGGGGGGGGGGGGGGGGGGGGGGGGGGGGGGGGGGGGGGGGGGGGGGGGGGGGGGGGGGGGGGGGGGGGGGGGGGGGGGGGGGAAAGGGGGGCGGCGGTGGGGGGTGACGGTAGAGGGTTGGTGTCGGATTAGGGAGTTGGGGGCGGAAGGCAGGGGTGGACTGGGGGGCATAGAGATGAAGAAGCGATGAGAGCGGTGAGAGCGGGGGGGCGGTCGGATGGTGCACGATGGTGGGGTGGTCTCGCAGCATGCACTGGACCCTTTAAACCACCTGAATGGATGGGGTGGGGGGGGGGTCAAAGGTCCAATTCAAGGCGTCATGGGTGAGGGCGATGGGTGGCGGGGTTTGGGCATGCACTGAAGCCAAACAATGCAAAAACACTCCAATTCAAGGTGTCATGAGCAGCATGCTGTGAGAGCGGGTGAGGGCGGTGAGGGCGGTGGGGGGTCTTCACTGACGCCGCCCTGCTACCGCTGGGGTCGGCGGATATAACTGCTAGCAGCCAATGGCCCTTGAGCTTTTCGCTGCTCTGGGGCTTGTGCCTGCAAGGTGATCATCGACGCGCAGCAGACGTACCGCGAGGGCGTCATGAAGCTGGAGGGCGTGGAGCCTGCCCTGGAAGAGTGCGCGGCGCTGCTCAAGCGCGCTCGCGCGGAAGGTGCCACGGTGGTCCACATCCAGCACGATGCTGGTGAGGGCTCGCCCTACGACCTCACTCAGCCCGTTGGCCAGATTGCGGAGCCCGTTGCCCCAATCTCTGGAGAGGAAGTCATCGTGAAGAAGGTTCCCAACTCCTTCCATGACACGACTCTCCACGAGTACCTTCAAGGCAAAGGCGTCAAGTCCTTGGTTTTGGTTGGCTTCATGGCCCACATGTGCGTGAACTCGACTGCCCGGGGTGCTTTCAACCTCGGCTACGCTTCAACCGTGGTCGCCAGCGCCACGGCGACTCGCTCCCTGGCGGATCCTCTAACCGGCGAGCCCGTGGAGGCCTATATCCCCCCAAAGGGAGTTATCTGTTTTATTTTTGTTTGTATAAGATTATGTTCTATTTTTGTTTACATGAAACTTAAGAGGGTATTAAACATATGACTCTTATTAAGGTTCTAGTTGGAGTCTAGAGGCGGCCTTGCTCAAGAAAAGCGCCTTGACAGCCATCTCCGACGTTTTCGCCGTCATTGTGCCAACAGCTGACAAGCTCCCCTAGGCGCTGCATGGCGCACAATGCACTCGCAGATCTTTGCAGGAGCATGCAGAAGCTGCTCACATTACAGTTTTCGGCAGCCGCCTTGGCTCATTTCCTGCGTGTGCTAAAATAGAAGCTCTTGCTCTCGGGTGAGCCTTCGATGTCTTGAAACTGAAGGAGCGAGCCGTTATGACTAGATGATTATCAA